CGGGCAGGTGAGCCCTGGCGCACTCTGCAGGCCACGCTCCTCCCAGAAGTGGCACGCCTCTCCGCTCTAGGTCCGAACTGCCTTCTCTCTGGCCCGCTGTCCCCAAAAGCCGCCTTCATAAGAACCACATAGTAGAGTTGGAGGACAGCCAGTCCCCCAAAAGAAGGAAGGTGACATTCTGAGTGGACAAAGCAACGGCTACTCACTACAGGCTCCCTGAAGAAAAGCTAGAAAATAGATACAAGGAAAAACAAACAAAAATCTTAGCATTAGCTAATTTTAACATTTTATTTTCTCCTGTAGGACATTTTTTATGTGAATTTGTGAGGTTTCAGATACACATGTTACCAATATATGACTGTGGGTGACAGAGACCGCGCAGCAGGCCTTAGGACCGGGCACCCCTGCTCGGCAGCACTGAGCCCCAGAGCCCCGTCCTTTGCCCCTGCTTGTCTCCAGCCACTTTCCAGCAGGGCTTTCTGCAGCTAATGCCCTGGCGCGGTGCCTGTTAGTTTTGTTTCTAAATGAGTTTATTATATGAGCAAATTTCTTGAGCTTCCCTGGCCATCCCTCTCAAAGACGATCACGATCCAAGTCGCCTTTTAGCCAAGTTGGAGCTGCAGCCCCAAAGCGCGAGGGTGTCTAGGGAGGCCAGAGCCCCGGCTGGGCCCTGGCAGGAAGGGGGCACCTGGGGAGGCCGTACCACACGATCAGAAATGTCTGTGCCTCTGCAAGTCAGAGAGGCGAAGTCCAACAGAAGAGCAGCAGCCTCATCCCAAATGCTGAGACACAGCGTTCCCCTCACATCTTTCCAGGAAAAGACGAGTGCCCTGGGAGCCCTGCACTTTCTAGGACAAGGAAGCCGCAGCAAGGGCCGGCGGGAGGAGGCGGCGAGGAGGGCGTCTCTCTGCGGCCTGCCCTGCTCCCCTACAGCTTGGCCTGGCCTGGAGAGGCAGGGCCCCGGGGGAGCTCACTGTTGCTTGGAAAGAGCTTGCAACAGCTCTCCTGAGCCCTGGGGTTATTTGTGGAGGAGAAGGCAAAGGAGAGAAGGGCAAGGCTTCAGACCTAGACCTCCCGGCCGGGCGGGGGACCCTGAGCCCACTCCGGTGGACTGGCTCTGGTCTGCCTTCAGGCCTGTTCCACACCCCCAGCCCTTGCAATGGGGGAACTTTGAGCAGGCAGAGCTGGAGCGGTGACGAGGCCCGGGCCTGTGCCCAACCCCCCTCACCCACAAAACCGAACTGCCAATGGCAGGCAACCCGAGGGACCGCGGAGCGCGGCTGCGCGCCCCCAGGTCCTTGCACAGGCTGCACCCGAAGGTCAGGGTAACGGGGAGAAAAGCTCCACAGCGAAGAGCCCTGGTTGTGTCCTCATGGGGGGACAGTGCACGGCACGGTCACCCACCCAGTCTTTCGGATCAGCCTGTGTCTTCCCGGGTCAAACAGGCCATGCCTGTCTGCCCTGGCCCTCATCAAAGGAGGGCTCTTAGGAAGAATGTGCTTTGTACGTGAGGTCGCCGTGCAGGCCCTCCCAGGGCCCTCCGGAAGCCAGTCCCTGGGTTGAGCCGCGTTAGTCCCTTTGCTGCCTGAAAACAGCCACCTGTAAGCTGGAGCTTCCCATGGGCCCCTGTCACCTCTGACCTTGTACTTCACAGCCTCAGGGTGGCTGACCCTCCCCGGCTGTGCTTAGCGTGTGCCCTGGAAACACGGGTTGAGAGGTAATTGAAGGACCCCAGTCTCCATCTCCGGCGATGCCTCTGCGGCAGGGGTCAGAGTGGCCCAAAGCCCTGATTTGGGTTCTGGGTCCCTGCTGGCGGCCCTCCCCTCCCCTCGCCTCGCCTCTGTGGGCTGCTGGGGGCAGTCGCCTGAGCACTCCTTCCCTGCCTTTGAGAGCTCACCGCACACGCTGCTTGGCTGCAGGCTGCAGGCGGGCTGCCACCAGGCACGGTACCCCAGCACACCCCCCACCTTCCAGGGTGACTGGGCTGGGGCTGAAGGGGCAGGACCTGAATGGGAAGCGAAAGGGAAGCAGCTCCTGCTCTGTGCAAGCCCCTGTGCTGAGGTCTCCACCGTCTTTCCCCTCGGGGCCGGAACTCCCCCGGCTCCGTCCCCCCCCGCCCCCCCGCACCACCCCCCGCGCCCAACGGCAGCCCCCCAGGGCCCCCCCCCGCCCCGGAACGGCAGCCCGCTGGGGCCCGGGGCTGGCGGTCAGAGCCTGAGAGGGGCCGCCAGCCCCCACCCCCAACTCCTCATTCTCCTTCCTTTGGGAACTCTCAGTGCTAAAAACAAGCTTTCTGAGAACCGTATTTTTCTAGGTTAAAGGTGAAAAATGCAGTGTTTCCTCCAAGTGGAAAGCCCTGGCCGGCCAACTCCGGGCACATTTCCGAGCTCCTTCCTCCCACTCGCGGCGGGGGCGGGGGCGGGAAGGCGGGAAGGCGGGAGGGAAGTGGGAAGGAAGGCAGGAGGGAAAGCAGAGGCCTGTTTGTGTTGGAGCCGCCGGCGGGCTGGAGCCGGGCCGGCGCCGGAAACGGCAGGCACACAGCGGGCAGAGTGCGGGCGGCGCTGGGCACGGGCGCCCGGCCGCTCCCGGGAGGCGCGGGGACACGGAGGACCCCGCAGGTGTTCCTGAGAGCACCCCCAGGACTGGGCGTAGAGGAAACAGGGGCTGCGAATGTCAGTTTTAACAGGAAAAGCCAGGACAGCCCCTTCCCTTGCCACCCTCCAGCCTTCCTTGTGTCCCACACGTGGGAAGCTCTGGGGAGCTCCCTCGGATCCCCAGGTAGGGTCAGAGCCTTTCAGGAGCCCCTGCCTCTCGGCGTCCTTCCTGGGCGGGCCTGGAACGGGGACCTGTGAGCCTCCCAGCTCTCTGGCTGCTCCACTAACCTCTGTTGGCCTGGAGCCCGGCCAGCCCCCCAACATGCCTCCCCACAGAGCGGCCACCCCTCCGCTAGTGCCCCCTCCTCAGAAAAAACGACCCTGCCGCGTGGCAGATAACAGGCAGAGGAATGAGGGAGCGCAGGGAGGCAGCAGGGGCGGAGAGGAGGGCCGAACGCTGCCCACTGGACACACCCTGGCTGGGGACATCACAGACCCCGTCCCCAACCCCAGCGGTCCCCACGGAAGAACTTGCACCATTTCTCCCAACAGCACGAGACTTCGATTCATGGTCCTGATTTTTCCCCCTCCCTGTGCCCACGCCCTTGGCCAGGTGACGATGGATAGAGTCTGTATTTTCATCTCCTGAGCCTATGAACTTGGAGTACTAAGATGCGGCAGCAGCGACGTGTGGCAGTTCCAAGTTTCGGCCGTACAAGGCCTCCCACCTTTCCTCCAGTGCTCTTAGCCTCCTCCTTTATCATGCGAAAGGCACGCAGGCCCCCGCAGGTCCCAGGAGGGGCAGAGAGCCCCATGGCGCCGACTCGCGTCACCTCGCCCTCTCAGGCAAGGCCATCCCGAGTTAGCCAACTGCTACACAGGGGAAAAGCCCAGCCAAGATCAGCAGAGCTACCAAGATGACCACTCAAGGCATGCAAGCGACAAACACATGTATGGTATGCCACCGGGGTTATGTGGCTGTTTGTCACGCAGCGTTATTGATAGCAGATGCACGTAGAGGGAACACTGGGCACCCTCGGACGAGCTCAGGTCGTCTCAGCCCTCCTGCCTTCTGAAGAACCCAGGTCTAATCCCTCGGCTTCAGGACAAAGTTGACATCCTCACAAGCACCTCTGCTACATGAACGCATCCCACGCCTCCCAGCTGGGGTCCACCGCCAGGCTCAAAGAGCCTTCCTCCAGGCTTGGGGGGCAGCTGCTCGCCCTGCTCTCCTACCCAGGGCCGCCCACGGGATCAGCCCCTTCGGGTCCCCGCACCCTGCGGCCCTCGCTTGCACCCGCAGGATCTGCACTGCCCTGAATCCGTCGCCGTCTTGGTCCCCCCTCCCCTTCGAGCCCCTTCTGCATCCCACCCAAGTTGACGGTTCAGAGCCCTCCTCCACCTCACACACTCCCAAGGCCCCGTCTCCGGGTCACTGCATTCTTCTCTGGATGACACTTGCACAGAACAATGGCCCATCTATAACACAGCTCTCCTGGCTTCAGTTCAGCTGGATATTTTGCTAAAATCATGATGATTTTTTTGACTGAAGGCAATTGATTCAAAATGTGCTGTGAAAGCTGTGCTGTTACATTGTGGGAAGCACTGGCCCGAGCAGCTTCCAAGGAAGAGGTGCTTCCAAGGAAGGGTGTTTGGGGGGCGGTTGAACCCGCTTGCTACCATGTGGCTTTTCTCCAAAGTGCACACACAAGGAGACAGATGTAGGAGAGGGTGAATTATTATTGTTGTTGTTACCATTACTCCCCCAGGAAGAAGGATCCTGGTCATGAAAGGGTCCCCAAGACGGGAGCCAGAAGCCTGCAGTACAAAGTGAACGTCCCTAGTTCATTTTCTCATTTTATAGAGCTCTCGCTGGGCCTAAAGTTGCGCTCCGCACAAAGCCCACGGTCCTTGCTGAATGAGTGTTGCACAGGCAGAGCTGAGTCATGACGGGGACTAGACAGAGGCGCCTGTGTGCACGGGATCGCATTTCCCCGCTCTCTGGGGTCAGTGTTCATCTCACCTTTCCCCTAGCGAGCCCTGTCATGGGGACCTGCCAGCGAGCCAGCTGTCACAAGCGTCATGTGCATGACAAGAAAAGGGACGGTCGGGGGCTCAGAAGAAAGTGGCCCTGCTGCTTGCTCACCCCCCAGCACAGCCTTAGCGACGTGAATGGTCTTAGTGTCCATTTCTGGGCGTGGCCTCTGCGTGGGCTGCCGACACCTCGAAGGTGAATGAAGGACTGAATGAACAAGCTTTAGCCTTCGCCGTCTCCTTTATTCAAGCTCACGATAGACATTCCTCCCCCCCGAAAACAAAAATGACAGTGACCCCCCGCCCCCAGGAACACAGGTACCTTTTAATGTTTATTTTGGAAGTTGCTGGTTCATCTCCTCCAGCGGTCAGCATTCCCTGAAGGAGAACGGTCAGCTCCCCAAGAGTGCGCCCGCCCCGAGTCACCTACCCCACTCCACGGATGCCACCAAGGGCCCAGCAAGCCTGCTCTGGGAGAGCATTTTCAGGGACTGTGCAAAGAACTCGGGGCTGTCCACCCAAACTTGCAAAATTATACTGTGTGGACAATCTGCAGCTATAAAAATATACACATATAAAAGGACAGCTACAAAATCAGGGCGCCCATTTTCTTAGATTAGCATTAGAAAAAGTAGGGAATTCTCACTAAAGGTAAACTTCAGGGGGCGGCATTATGATTATGAGTTTACATTTAGTCTCCCCGCACCCTTATTTTCATGGGATAGTCAGAGCACATTGAAACAGCCAGTGAGGAGTGGAAGGGATTAACCCTAATCATTCATGGGCCAAGGTGAGAAATTCCAGGTTCAAGGTCACACAGTCGTTCTGCTGTCAGTAAGTGTCATGAGTCAGGGAAGGAGAGAAGTATTTTAATACTGCCCTTTGGGCCTCTCTCTCGTCTTTGTTTAACGCACTATGACTCACAATGCAGTCATTGAGCTACAGCAGACAGGCTCCGGAATTGGCCTGGTGTGTGATCTCTGGCAGCCACTGCACATTCAACGGACAAAGTTCGGTGCTTCCTACACAGAAGATTCCGCTGGGTTTGGCCCACAGAGTATCAGCAGGAAAAGCCACACAGGGACTGCTGTCTGGGTTCTAGCTTCTCACCAGGGCGCACTTCCCCTTGATGAGAGGAAACACAGCTGGCCCCATGCCTCGGTGTATGGCATCAGGCAGGGCCTCGGGGCCCCGGGATTCTCAAGACAGAATGCTCGGTCCCTTGGGCAAGGCCAGCTGGCGTTACTTGGCTCCACAGGTGTTGATGTTTCTCCCGTCCACGGCGTCTTCCACGAGGGAAACGTGGTAATCGGTGGACAGGGTGAAGTGAGAGATGCAGCCCACGAGGCCTCGCTGGTACTGCCTGTTAGTGCGCAGAGCAATTTCCTTCATTCCACCTGCCAGGAAGCCAGAGGGAGATGGGGTGAGCCAGAGGGGACCGTGTCTCCTTAGGACACTTGAGAGTGTCTACTGATCAAGGTACCCCTCGGCTCACAGGTAAGGGAGGACCCCGGGTCCTATTAGTACATAGCACCTAATGTATAATTATCCTTGAAGGGACAGGTTGACGTGATTCAATTTGATACGCAACCAGAGGCTATAAATACCTACTTCATGTGTGACTTCTGACCTAGTTGGCCACTTCAAACCAAAGAGTATCTGGCAAATTTTGAAATGTTGTATAATGTCAATAAAATGTAGTATGTAGTTGGAGGTAACATCCCCTTAAACCAAAAGAAATACACTGATGTTGAACGCTTTTAATTAAGTTGACATTTAGAAAATACATGGATGGAGACATCCTTGCATACTCATGTGTCTGCACTAGCGGGTTCTGAGCTATTTACAGGATTACCAGTCATTCTGATTCTGAAAGGGGCCAGAAAAACAGACCCTCCTTCCTCAGAGGGAATTCGTGGAGCTATATTTAGTAGGTTCCTGTTCTATAAACAAGAAAAGCGTGGTTTTCCTGGCGGATCAGTCCAAAGCACAAAAGCGTCTAAGTGCTTCCTGCCCCCTCGGCTGTGAGTCAGAAGTTCAGAACATCGGAGAATGAACTATCAGGGGAGCTTCCTATTTCCAGGTATTTGCCTGTTCCAGGGAAACGCTTGACTCATGGGGGCCTCAGCCCACAAACGGAGTAATGGGACAAGGCCCGGGATTCCTTCAGATCTGGTCCGAGGCCACTTACCCACATACAGAGCTCCGTTGATATTGAGCTGTCTCATGGTGCCAGGAGACTTGCCTGTCCTGGCCCCGTAGTCATCCACGGTTATCTTTCCTGATGGGCCATCCCTGTAAAAGCCACCATCATTTTTGGAGCTTCATTCCATCGTCCAATTCATTTCCATAAAAATGTATTAAAGTACTTACTATGCACCAGGCACTATGCTAAATGACAGAGCTGCAAAAAAGAAAAAAAAAAAACAAAAAAACCCAAACACGTTCCTGGCCCCCAGGAGTGCTAGTCTATTGAGGAAGACAAAAACAATCAACTTACAAATGACAACTCAGTGTCCCTGCTCTGGGGAGGAAGAAGGCCAGGACACCGTGGGGTTACACAGGAGGCGGACAGAGGGGCACGGAAAGCTTCTCCAAGGAGAGTGTCTAAGACCAGTGTAGAAGGCTGGGTAGGTCAAGTGGAGGGGGAAGCTAAGGCTGACAGGAAGTCGTTGCAGGAAGGGCAAGAAGACGTGAGGGGGAAGGGGGCTGGTGCAGACCAAGCAGAGAATCCTGCAGGTGGAGGCGGAGTGGGGGACGGGGGCGAGGAAGCCAGGAGCGGACGGTGAAGGGCACGGGCCGCTCAACCAGCACGGTCCTGAAGGTGAGAGGGAGCCAGAGAAGGGCGTGAGAAGGGGAGCCGCTCTGGCGACACATGGTGAGTTTGGATATTATTCCAAGCACAAAGGGGATGCAGCAGGTTTTGTAGGTGGAGGATTACTCTAGGGAAGGAGGAAAAATAGTTTAGAAGCTCCTAAAGGACCCGAAGAGTCACCTGAAAGTGACTCTGAGGACAGTGGAGTGGAGGCGCACATCTCTGGCAAGGGCTTCACAGGTTTCCCCAACTACCCAGTCCATGAACTTGTGAACCTTCTCCACAAACGTGCGTCTGCCTCTGCAGCTCCTGGGGGGACACCCAGCCAGGCTGCACATCCTCTTCTTTTCGTAAGAGTTCTTTATTGACCTTTTAATGTTCCTTTTTTAATAGCAAACAGCTTGTTTCTTGGGTTTCTGATGTTATTAACATTGACATTATTTTTTTCATTCATAGACTTTGTCTCCTCTGCGTTGCTTTACTACATCTGTTTGTTCTGATACCTATCTTTTACACCAGAAACATTTTTCAAATGCCTCATGATCACTGATGGCCACTTCCTAGTGAAGTGCTGGGCTCGGGAAAGCAGATCGGAAGCTCCGTGGGCTGGATGCGTTTTGTTGACGGTGGCTTCGTGGTGTGGTGATCTGGCTCAATCATTCCCCGGGGGACACCTGGATTTGCTACTCTCCTTACTGTGTCTGGCTGCCAGCATTCTGGAATCCCAATTATGGGGAAGGAATTATGGAGTTCTCACTATTCAAGATATGCCCCGTCACAAAGTCCCCGGTCCTAATATGCACGACATGCAGCAGTCCAGTAGTTAGCTAGACCTAGTGTCTCCCCTTCCAGATGCTCCGTTTACTTTGTCCAGTGAATGGACATTGCTGCTCTTCCATGGGCCAGGGAGGGGCGGTGCGCCAGCTGTAGGGAGTAGAGCAGGGGCTGGGCTCTACGTCCTCAAGTGAAGTCAGGTAAATTTCTAAAACCAATCTTCCTGCTTTTAGCTCCTCATTCATCTTGCAGGGCTGCTGGCTCTGACCCTATTTAGGAGGGGGGCACGTGATGTCAAGCTGAGGGCCCGGGCCTCACTCCCTGAGAGCAACTCTTCTAGCAGCTGGTGTTAGAGGCCTGTCCCCCTCCCCCATTCTCCCCTCACCCCCGGGGCCACACCCTGTCTCCCCACTGTGGACACGTTAGTTTAGAGCCTCATCCCTAGGTGCTGTAACCAGCAATGCTGGGTGTGGCCTGCCTTTTCCCCACTTACTCTAAAAAAATTCCATTTTCTCCATGGGAGCTCATCAATTGTAAGATTTTTCATTTTCTGTATCTCTAAAATGAGGCTATGTCTTAAAATCGGTGATACCTTAAATTTGAAAATAAACGTGGTAACAGCCTCTAACCTATTACATAATGAACTTCCTCATCATGTTTATTACTGGTTGTCTATTGCCACCCATTAGAATGCGAGACCATCAAGGCATGGATGCTTGCACTGTTCAATGATGTATCCCATGTGTCTGGAACAGCAAAGGGTTCATGGTGGCAGAGGAGGGAACAAGCAGATCTGTGGGGCTCCAGCTCCTCATCTGAAACGGGGAAGACTCTGCCGACCTTCCGAGGCTGTTCTGGAGATCAGCGATTATGCATGCAAAGCTCAGAGCACGGTGCCCGATACATACCTGCTCTGTAAAGCGTGTGTGGGAGGGGGTGCATTGTTATTGTTATCAATATATTGTCATTCTCATCCATAACATGGGGGTTATAAATCTTGTGTTGCTGTGAATGTTAACTAGGATATAATACGGAAGGCACCTGGCATCCTGAAGATGCTTAATAAACGAGAGCTTGCCTTCTCTTTTCCACTAGAATGAATGCCTGCAAGACCAGGATTACTCGGAGCAAGAACATGCACACAGCAAGGCTCCCCATGGAGACATCTGCATCGATTCCCCGTCTCTGCCTCTGAGCTGCCCTGGAGAACCAAGGCCTCCGATCAGCCCTGCTTGTGGCCCCCAGAGCCTGGCCCCAGCTCCTGCTCGCACCTGCGGTGCCGGCCCACCTGGGCCCGTCCGCCCCTGGAAAACGAGCTCACAGCACCTGCCTGCATTCTCCCGCCCATCCAGGTCCTGTGTCCCTTCCTTCTGCTGAACCCTCACTGCAACCCCAGGCCCGCCGGGGAGATGTCGATGATTTCAATAGCAAGAACCAAGTCTGCAAACCATCTTCATGGTGTCAAGCCTGACGGCCTGACATCTAAGTTTCTTCTGGTGGAACGTTCCCTGTTATCCCTCCAAAACACCTGCAGCCTTAGCTGGGCTGGGCTGCTCCATGGAGCAGGATGGTAAGAGCTATGACCTCAGATCCTCCTCTTGGCTCTGCCCACAAACAGTGGCATAGTCTCGGGAAAGTCCTGTAACATCTCTTTCCTTAGACGTCTAGGAATCCCCACCAATGTGTATCTTGCTGCACATAATCAAACCACAACAATGTTGAACATTTAAAAATCCTTTCACAGTGTCCGAGTGTCCTACCAACTTTCTCTATTTAAGAAAACTGAGAGCAGGGAGCTTGCAGGATGGGAGCTACAGAGATCAAGTGTGGCCAAGCGCGTCATTGCTTTGGGTGTTTCCGAGCGAGCCACTTTAAAGATGAGTCGGAGAGAAACGGAGGATCTGGAGGCCACGTTGTTTAATGTATCTTGGAATTGGTTGGGACTATGAGCATTTTAACATATTCTAGAATATATTTTAGATCACGCTTATACATAGTCACTATGGAAAGACGTTAATTTTTTTCAAAAAGTCAGAGTTGAGGGTTCATCACAATCTCTGCCACCAGGGCTTCCAGGCTACGTGGGCAGCTGGTGGGCACTGACCTGCCTCGGTACCCCCACACTCCCTCTAAGGAATCCACAGCAGGTGCGGTGGACCAGAGGCTACTCCCGCCAAAGCCTGGGCATGTGCAGAGTAGGAAATTGACCTTGGCAGCCCCGTGTCTCCCAAGCCTCACTTTTGACTCCCCCACTGGCCTCCCCAGAGTGGGCCATGGTAAATTCTCAGGGAACCCAGGTCAAAGGCTGCTCAGCTCATCTCCTGGAAGCTTCGCCCGCCGTGGCACGGTTGAGCTTTCTTCACGCAGCTAAGTTTGGGCCTGCTATTGGGGTTCTCAAAATATATTGTTAGAAATATGGGCATAAGGAGCAAAACTGTAATTTTAAGGGAGTGACTCACCCAAAGTTAACCAGAAGTCAGGGTAGTGACGCCCGTGGAGGGGACATATATAATTGGAGCAGGATCCACAGAGCTTGTAAGGTAATGTCATGTCAAAGAAAATGTGGGAAATTGCCTATGTAATGAAGCACTGAAGCATTCAATGAAACTTGAAGCAAAGTCCATATGCCCCAAACTCTCATCTCACGAGAGATACCCAGATCTCACTAAAGAGCGACGCCCTCTTCCAACTTGGCCGTGAAAAGTTATTGCTCCAGAAAGTCATGCTGAGCGAGGATCTGGGAGTTCAGCCTCTTGGGCCTGTGAGTGTCAAGGAAGCGCACAGGGGAGAGTGTTGATGGCAAAATGCCCCGAGCAACCAGGGTCAGGAGTGTGGGATGCAGGGCCAGGTGGGGGAAGAGGGTGGTGGGGCTGTGGGACGTGCGAGCACGTCCCGCCTCCGGGGGTCCAGCTCGGTCCCACGCCATGGCGGGTACTCACCGAACAGCCTTGACCCGGTGCCACCGCCCATCGTTGAAGGAGCCGTTCACTGTGATGGATGCCACGCCGCTGCCCAGGTTATAGCTATGGCATCAGAGAACGAGACAGGGCTGAGTAAAGTGCTGAAACCCAGGCAGACATGCACTCATTCATTCACAAGCGATTCTCTTCACAAAAGGTCGAGGGAACTCAGAGTGGAGTTAAACCTAACGATGTTATCAGTTAGGTTTCCAAGAGAGGCCAGGAATGATCAAAAAATGTTTTTTTTAATCATGGTGAGATATACATAACATAAAATCTACCGCCTTACCCATTTTTGTGTGTCCGGTTGAGTACTGTGAAATATACTCATGCTGTTGTACTGAATCCCCAGAACTCTTTTTATCTCACAAAACCGAAACTCTGTATCCCTTATACAACAGCTCTTCATCCCCCTCCCTTCAGCTCCCAGCATCCACCATTCTACTTTTTATCTTATGAATCCGGTGACTTTAGGAACCTCAGAGGAGTAGAGTCATGCAGCATTTGTCCCTTTGTGACCGGCTGCTTTCACTCGGCATCATGTCCTCCAGCGCCGTATACAGAAGCACCCGTGTAGCACCCGGAACAAGAAGGGCTTTATCATTTGTGATGTGTTAGACTCTGCTCAACAGTGTCCCCTCAAAGCTCACGTCCAGCCACAACCTCAGAATGTCACCTGAGTCGGATATGGGGTCTTCGCAGATGCAGTAAGTTGAAATGAGGTCCTACTGGATTAGGGCAGCCCATAATCCTACAGGACTTGGTGTCCTTACAAGAAAAGGAAATTTGGGCACAGAGAGACACACGGGGAAGAGAGCCCCAGGAAGATGAAGACAGAGGCTGGGGTGATGGAGCTACACGCCGAGGCCTTCCAGGATGGCCGGCCACCAACAGAGCCTGGGGGAGGCCCGACGGACTCCAACGATGCCAGCACCTGCGCGTCAGACTTTGAACCCTCAGAACTGCGAGGGCGTAAATTTCTATGGTTTTCAGCCACCCAATTGATGATTGTTTGTTATGGCAGCTCTTGGCGATGAATGTATGTGTTTTTACATTTTAAAAAGCAAAATGAAACAAACCAGAACACTGCAGAGGAAGCTGGACTCCAAAGAGATGAAAAGAATTTGCCTAAAATCTCAGGGCTAAAGTATAGGATTTGAATTTGGCGTCTTATCTGCCCCACCCCCTCCATTTTACTCTGATACTCAGTAGCTTTCTATTTTCTATTTCAGGTTCCGGATGGCCCAGAACCCTAAGGGTATCAGGAGACATGCACATGTTGTTTACCAGAGAGAAATGTCCCTCTTAGCCAGTGTTCATTCAATTATTCTAATTCAATTCAATTCAACAAATATTTAGGGAGTGACTACCCTAGGCCAGGCCCTGGGCCAATTGCCTAGACCTTCCCTTGGTAATAGAACGAAACTTCTGTAATCAAGCTTTTGAAGGACAGCGTGTTCCACCTGGGACAACACTCTCCTTGTCTGCTAAGAGGACGCGCCTCTCCTTCAGTCCACGGGCCGAGCGGAGGCGTGGGGTGCCTGGGTCCACTCCGGAGCCCCCGCAGGCGCTCTGCTTGAGAGAACAGCAAGGGCAGAAAGTGCTTGGCTTTCCCCAGGGAAAGCACTCCAGGTCCTTTCTTTAGTAACAGCCTCAGAGCACTCACGCAGCCCACTGACATTTAGCCGAGAATAGAACTTGGGTGACTTGACAAACTAGGAGACAAAGCTGTGACTCGGACTCTGAAAAATCCACTGTTTCCTAATGAATTTTCCCACATCAAGCAGCTCTTTGTCTGAAGCAGCCTGGAGGTGGAATTTTCAGATTTCCTTTTGAGGGGCCAGGGCTTGCTGAATAAATGAATGGATGTGAAGCAGGGCTGAGGGCTGGCTGGCAGGCCCGTAGCCGAATGGCTGTGTGTGGCATTGATGGGAGGCAGCAGAGACCCATGGATCAGACCAACCCGCCTTGGTGCCCACTCCCGCCAGGTACGGGCCCGGTGAGCGTGGGCCCTGTGTGTCAGGGCTTGAGCCTCAGGTTCCTCCTCTGTGAAGCGGGGTGATCGCACCTTCGCTGAAGGACGGTAGGGAATAGTAACTGTATGCCACACTGAGTGCAGCTGCACACAGGTGGATGACCGCTCCAGAGGGACCAGCAGGAAGGAGAAAGCTGCCACCGAGAGTTAAAGATGTCAGGCCTCTCCTGGAAGAGGAGTCATGTGTGAGCGTAAACCACCAGGCTGTAAATGTGTAACCGAAATGGAAACCCTTTCAGGTGGGTCTGGACAAAGGAGGGGCTTTCTTCCTCTGCCCTCCAGCCCCATAATGGTCCTGGTCATGCAAAAAGCCTGGCTGTGCTCAGGGGAGTCAGCCCTGGGCCCAGCAGACGGGAACGCAGCCAGCAACGCGACACGGGCACACGACACTCAGCGGGCGTCTCCACGGCCGGACGCTCCAGCCTGACCCCCACTCCATCAGACTGCAGACCCCCGAATAACCTGTTTCCCCGGTGCTTCACCCTGCAATCTCGATCTCTCTCTCTCTCTAATCCTCACCTGAGGAAATGTCTATGGATTTTAGAGAGAGAGGAAGGGGGAGAGAGAGAGGAAGGGGGAGAGAGAGAGAGACAATGATGTGAGAGAGAAACATCAGTTGGTTATCTTGCATATAGGCCTGGACCAGGAATCAAACCAACAACCTTTGGGTGCACAGGACAACAGTCCAACCAACTGAGCCACCCAGTCAGGACTCTCTTTTATATAATAATAAATGACCAAGAAGAGTGGTTGTCTTCATCGACAGAGGGCATGAGGAAGCTTTCTTGGGTCTGAGAAATGTTCTGTATCTTGTTCTGTGTGGTAGGTCCACAGGTGTTTACACGTTTAAAAATCTATCAAACTGCACACCTAACATTCGTGCACTTTATGTAAATTACAGCTCTATTTTTTGAAAAGGAAAAACATAAAAACGAATGAAAAAGTGAACAAATGAGGGCACGTCTGGTTTTGCTCTCAGCGTCTTACGACTCTGGTGAGCCTGAATCGGCTACCCTGACGCAGGCCGCCCGCTCAGCCTGGCGCGCAGGAAAGGCAGGGAGGCTCAGCACCCAAGAGACGCCCCGGCGCACCTGCAGGCGAGGCCTGGGAAACCGCTTGCTGTGCCCCTGTGTCACCCCCTTCAGGTTGTAGCACCAGGCACCTGCCGGTTCAGATGTCTTCCCGTTCTTTCTCTGGGGCGTAAAATGGTGTCAAGGTCATGGGGGAAATTACTGGGAAAGATCGCCAGTCAAATGATTTTCACAAAACCTGCTCACCAGCTTTTGTGTCCCATGTGTAACCATAAAACAAAACGAAATGAAACAAAAACGGAAGACCACCCTCTTAGCCGAGCACGTGGATTCCTCTTCCTCTACCTAATCTTGCACAAAAACCATAAAAACTTTTTTTTTTTTTTTAGAGTTCCATTGCTCTTCCTTATTCTCTGCCAGAGGGGCTTTGAGCACTAAAGTAGCAGAAGGGCCAGCATTTAAGTGAAGGGAAAAAAGTCAAGAAAGTTGAGAATATATTTTTATTATTTTAGGTTTTCTATTGTTTGCTTTGGATCTGGGTCAAACACCAAAACCTCAAAAAGGGTTATTCTGCCCAATAGGCCAGTTCACCCCCTCGGCTCCGCTGATGTAAGCTGCTCAAAGGCGGGGCCCACATCGTTTAAAAATAAAGACAATAATAATAGCTGTGTTTTATGAAAGTTATTTTATGCTAACTTCCTTACTTATGTTAGCAATCTGAGGTAGGCGTTTTTTTAAACATAAGAGGGTAGAAAGCACTTTATCAAGGAAAATAATTTGATAACCTTTATCATTCATAACTAGATCCGCCAAGCCCCTCCACGGAGCCCTTTAGGGGAACGTACTTGCTCAACCCCGGCTGCCAGCCCTTTCCTTTCCCGGGAACTCTGGTAACTCGCAGGAGGTCACGTGGCCGTGGGAACCCAGCCTGTCGAACTCTGAAGGCTTTGACCGCTTCAGACCCTGATTCAAAGAACGTGGCCCCAGAGGGTTTCCCATCCGGGCTCTGGCGCCCGAGGGGACCAGCTCCATCGGAGTCGCTGCGTGTGGGCCCAGGACTCTGCCTCTTAAGCAAGCTCCCCGCTGGCCACTGGCGGGAGGCTACCCCTTCTAAACCATCGCCCCCCCTACCCCCGCCGGCCCCCAGCCATGCGCAGCCTCCCGCAGAGCATCTGCCCATCTGCGTTTCGGAGGAAGGAAGCACAGCGAGCGCCGCCGCTGCGGCCCAGGCCCGGGCCCAGGGCAGGCGCAGCAGGGGCTAGGCTGTGCGCCCAGAGCCCAACCCGAGCTCCGGGCTTCAAAGAAAAACATGGGGCCAATCGTCAGAAACCCGAGAAAGACGTGGTGAGGGAGGCACTGTGTCTGGATGGGGCGGAGTTGTTAGAAGGTGCCCCGGGGAAGTGCAGGCTGGTGGAAGGCCGCAGGAGCTGCGCGTAGCCCCGAGCGGATCGAGTTTCCCCTGCTCTGCGCGGCCGGGGGCTGAGCAGGTTTTACTTGGCGGTTAGGGGGACGTTGGCCTCCTACCCACGGCTGAGCTACTGTTTCAGTTCCCTTTTCTGGGCACAATCAAGTACTCGAGGCCTTGGTGAGGTTAACCACAGGAAAACCACAAGAAAATGGCTCCGCGGCAGCCAGCCTGAACCGGGGTGTGAAAAGCTCGGCGTTTGACCTTGGGGCGGGGAGGGGGGCTGGGCAGGGGGCGGAGAGGGTGAGCACCGCTCGCTCTCGCAGGCCAGCCTCTAGCCTGCAACCACCTGCTCCTGCAAAGCCCCCCACGTCGCAGGATCGCACCACTCGGCGTGCTCTGCTCTTTAGGGGCAAGCGTGCTGTTGGCTAAGTGACGTTTCCTCTAGAAATGCTTTTTATTCTAATTGAAAAGACGTCTGTGATCCTACACTGTGTGTCAGGGATCCCAGTGCATGACCCACAGAAGCCCAGGATTCAGCCTCCAGCCGCTCTGCCGCTCGGTTACCGTGCGTGGCTTTGCTCGCTGCAGTTCCAGTGAATTCCCCGACATTCTTCAAACCCTGGCCCGCTAGGCCCCAGGGTGGGGATTAAAGAAGGGAAAGCCAGAGAAACCTCCGCCCCTAGCGACAGAGCAGGGACGTCAAACCTTAGGGAGCATCAGAATCACCGAGAGACGTGGTGACAGAGGATTGCTGGCCTCACTCCCAGTTTTTCTGGTTTGGGGTGGGGCCTGAGAATTGGCATTTCTGAGACATTCCCAGGCGGCATGATGCTGCGGCTCAGGGACCACACTTGGAGAATCTCTGGTCCAGATGAGTTATTTCTCACCTCCAGCAAGGAGGTACCATCCCAACCTCCAGAGAAGCGGTTTCATATTACACAGTCCGGCGCCTGCTCCATGGGAACACAGCCCCCCCCCCACTCTGCCGGGGAGTTGTCAGGGGACACTTGGGCTACTTCCTAGGGACCCCTTTGAAAAACTTGGGAGGAGGAGCAGTCCACATTCAGTCTAAAAGGCTGAGAACTCCAGAGGCTGCCTGGCCAATATCAACCAAGAAGCATTTACAAAAATGCAAATGCTGGGCTGATCTCTTGAGACACACACCTGTGCTTTCCCCCTTTCCGCAGCGGGAGACCGGAAGCAGGCTTTCTCCTCCCACAGCTAATGGGGCACGGTGCACATTTAGAGCTGGGTCTTTGCCGAGACCGCCAGCTCAGCCCGAGCCGGGGAGCACCGTACCCACAGCCACGCTGAGCAGTGCCAAGTCCTTTCTCCTACTTCCCAATTTGCAAGAGGGGGGTGTGTGCGGGACACAGCACAAGGTGGGTCACAGAGCCAGGCAATCAACATTTTAGGCTTTGCCACACAGTCCCTATTGAAACTACTCAGGTCTGCCACTGCAGCGCGAAAGCTGCTGCAGACAATATATAAATGAGTAAGGCGGTGTTTGATAAAACTTCATTTACGGAAGCAGGTGGCGGGTCAGGCCCGGCCCCCAGGCTCTGGAAGCCAGTGCTGGAAAGAAAGGATCAGGAGCCTCCGACAAGCCCGGAGCTTTAGGCAGCAGCCGTTCCGGCAGACTGCGCTCTGGTTCACATGTGCAGCACTCTGTGCGGCGTGACCTGCCAGGTGACACTGAAGGCAGCTGGCAGTGGGGGCGTTACCTGAACATCAGGGCTCCATCCCGAAGGCCCAAGGAAATGAAGTCACTGCTGGACACGAGGCTGTCTCCCCGCCACATCAACAGGCCATCTTTGGCAGTCGTCTTGAACCTCATGAACACATTTGACCTTGACCCTGACACCCTGGGGGAAAAACACAAACCGTTGCACCAAGTTAGCCGCTGTCCGCCCACATCCAGTCCCGAGCTTTGGCCGCTGGCCTGGGGAAGGCAGGTGTGAGGACGACCTGGCATTCCCAACACTTCCTACCAGGAGGTTGGCGCGGGCATCCTTGCCCAGGCACCGTGTCACGGTCTGCAGGTCCGGGCTGCTGGCCTGGCTGCAGTGCCTCCAGCCCCAGGTGAGGTGCAACCCACGAGAGCACGTGATGAGTCACAGATGAACCAGACTCGGGTCAAGTCCACAGTCCCGGCTGCAACCCCAACCTATACCCCAGCCCCCTCCTTTCTTACCCTACTGCTGGAAGGGCCTTGGGAAAGGGTTCCCCATGCCCCCACCCCCACAGAGAGGGGCTTCTTAGTTCCTAAGAGGTTCAAGTTGGCACTTTCTTTGGGCTGTGGTCATGGCCATGGATGGCCAGCTCTGGTGGCGACTGTCCTTGAGGGAGGGGGAGAGACCAGACCAGAGGCAGAGTGAGAGGTGCTGTGGCAAAGCCGGGGGGGGGGGGGGCGGCGGTTGGGGGCGGGGGCGGGGGAAAGGAGGAACAAAAAGCCGAGAGGAAAGGGGAGGAGAATATTTCAATTCTCAGGAAGAGCCTAGTTCAGAAATCCAGTCTCACTGAAGTGGCCAGTGCTTCCTCTACCCTGGGAGAAGAGCAAGCATGTGCTCTTCCATAAAAGGTAAAGGAGGAAACAATACTGCCACTAGTATGATGCTATTGGCAAAGTCTCTCTATTCTCCCCTCACTTGTGCCATCCCTCTGTCTTCCCACGCACCTGGAGCTGTAGGGGCATTTAGTAGCGAACAGTGGAGGGGACTTCTGTCTAGGCTTTCCAGAGCCTGGCTTAGACAGGAAGAGACCAAGGCTGCCCTGTCCTCTCTGTGCAGGGCCTCAGAACGGCGGGGGAGGAGCAGGGTCCCGGCGGTGACCCCTCCCCCGGGCCAGGTGCAGAGCAGCCCCGCCCCGGCCCCTTCTCTAGAGGCCTGCTTTTCCTGGTCTTCGGTTTCCGGCTCCCTCTCTCCCCCACATGCCTTCGATATGCTGATTGGCAGAAGCCAATCACGATGGCTCCGTTTCTCTTGCAGTGAGTGGTCTGGGGACAGACATGTAACCCACTATTATCCAATGAGATAGAGGAAATGTATCAGGAAGATTCTAGGAAAGACTCCTTTACTTTTAGAAAGAGTCACGTAAGGAAAAAAGTTTTTTTACTTCCACTGGATGTTGCCCTGATTTATGTCCATCTAACGAACATCTCATGCAGAGCCACCTCATGACCATGAAGAGGGTAACCGCTGGAGGATGGGCTGAGGATAGTACAGCAACAGGCAGAGAGACTTGGGTCTCTGGTGATACAGATGATTCTCTGAGTCAGTCAAGCCAGGATCTGGGCTAAGCTTGGACTGCTTGTTATAGGAAATAATGCCCTTCACGTTTAAGACATTTTGAGTGGCGTTTTCTGTTACTCGCAGCCAAAAGCATCACACTGAAACAGACCCTAAGCTTGACTTTTCCCTGCAGCTTCACGCACATGCTGTGTGCGTGCACAAACGTACACGCACACAGGGGCCACCTGAGGCTCGGGTGCCTCTTCTCACTGAACTTCCCAGTGCCGCTCATTAAGTATCAAGGGGGCTGAAGGCCTGGGCCCCTTTCACACTGTCCCTGCTCTTGGGGGGGGGGGGTGAATGCCTTCTCATCTCTGGAGAAAAGGGCTGAAGAAAGAGTAGGGTCTCTCTTGGCTGGAAATCCATTTTGCCTAAGGCCCCATGCCAAGACCACCACAATAAATACAGCGTGGGCCTAGAGAAATGAAGCCATGTCTGTCTGTCTGTCTGTCTGGTATGTTGAGAGTTACCAGAGACATGTTCGTCCAGTGCCCCTCAGAGGAAAATGTCTCTCAGCCACTTTTGTTCCTTGAAAAGCCACCCACCTCAGCCCGAAGAACTGGGTGGTTTTAGCTTAAAGTTTTGCCTTAGGAAACAGTCAACCTGAAGAGGAAGGAAAATTCTAGAATGGCGGTGCTGGCAGTGTTGTGGGGGATGGCAGGCTATAAACTTCAAAGGACTAGGGGAGGAAAAAGAAAGAGAAGAAGCAAAATGAAAGCACCAAAGACAAGGATCCCTGGTCATATACACTGGCTCTTCCAAACCAGGAGCTTGGCCTCCAGGGAGAGGCGGAGCCTCGGCCACCAGGGATTGACAGCCAAGGTGGCGACGTGGGCATCTCCTTCCCTGTGTCTTTCTCTCGTATCCACCTGGAGAGCTGAGGAGCCCCCCACTGGACTGGCCAGAGCCTGAGGAGGACAGGGCACCTTTGTTGCTGAAGGTGCTGAGCAGAGCATGGCCTGGGTGCTGTGTGTCCAGCTGCGGGGGCTCCAGGTCCCTCCGCGGTGGAGCTGCAGGTGGTGGCCAAGAACAGCGCGAAGCTGACTGTCCGGGCTCCTCAGGACGTCCGCGAAACCCGCCGCTGGGCGCCTCTCCAGCAGGGTTCAGGTTGTCCAAGGCTGCCTTTTTCAAGTTTAATTTGTTTTGCTTTGTTCTAGTGGGCATGTTGATGATATGTGGCTGTTTTCCCATGGGGCCAGGCTCAACTACCTCCTTAGAGGGTTAGCTCCTGGCACAGAAAATAAGGAAAAGCCTTGGGAAAGATATTGAGAAATTGACCCCCGAGAGATAAAGCAGGCGCCTGGGGAGCTGCTTACCTCTTGAGGATGTCTGGGTTGTCATAGGCCAGGTAACTGCGGCCGATGAACTGCGGCGTCTCAATGGTTTCTGTGATGGCTGAGACAGAACAGAGACGGGAGTTACGGGGCCTGGGGCCCTGTGGACCCCAGCAGGCACTCAACCGCAGGGCGGGAGAACACCAAGAAGGCCAGCTCCTAGGGTTAGGGCGTTTAACAACTAGTCAGCTCCTTCCTCTTGGCCAGGTTTGGGGCTGCCTGGCCTGAGGGCCTGGAGTTGGTGTGTCCCTCCTGTGCCCTCTCTGGGGCTCGCCGTCCCTGGGAATGGCCTCAGCACCACGGAGAAGGGCTCACGATGTGCTGGAACTTGGCCCGTGCCCCGCTATCCGTGTCAGCCTAAGAGCGCGCCGTGGGCCACGTGGGGAGCAGCTGGGGGCAGACTTAGATGTCCTCCGATGGAGGCAGAGGAAGTCACCTCCAAGAAAGCCCTCCAGAACTTCTGTGTTGAAGCCAGCCTGCCCCAGGACACTTCCAGCCATGACCGCAAGAGACTGGCAAAGTACAAGAAATGAGGCGTTGACTCGTTTTTAAAAATCACCGTCCAGTGTCATATCTTCACCACAATCTCATGAAGTGGTGGGGAGTTTGGAGAAAGGGGAGGGGTGGTTATCCCCATTTTATAGGAGCGGCAAAGGAGACACAGAAATCACCAAGGACCTGCCCGAGATGCTGCCGTAAGAGAGCGATAGGGCATGAACCAGACGGGCTCCCTTATTTCGGGGCCTCAGCCCACTTTTCACTTCCCAGGAATTCAGAATTGTATTTCCTTCCTCTCAATTTGCCTTTCTTTTGTGTCCCTGAGAAACCTTCCTTTTCCACCCAGTTTGCACAAGATTAGTTTATGTTATTGTGTTTGGTGTCAAACACTGGGGATAATTTAGGAGATTTCAGCCAAAGAGATAACAGCCATATCTCTTCTGTCTTCAGAAAAACACAGAAATGGCAGTTTAAAGAATGAAGGTAGAATGAATCTCATTTTCAAAGAAATGTGCAAAAACAAGAGAGAATAAGCCAGCTTCTAAAATGAGTTAGAGTTTCACAAAAATATGTGGTTGGTACAAAAAAGACATTGAACTAAGGATCTTACACTAAGGAAGTAATAACATGTATAATTACTTGACACTATGCACAATCAGGAGAGTTTAAACATAACTTCTAAATATCTTTTTAAAAAGAGAGAGATAACGGCAAACCCTAAAACCCAATAACATTGGGCGCCCAAGTATAAATTCCTGTGTTGACAAGTCCCGAAGTCTTTTCATAAAAAGCACAAATTTTAGAAAGGAAAGAAAACAAGAAAAGCAAAGGAAGAGAAAGACTTTTAGCGTAGTTCCTGAGTAGTTGCCTTCTTGCTCTCTGAAGCCACACAGCCCTGGCTGAACCAGAGCCTGCGGCCTGATGGCCTGTTAGGGACAGAGACAGAGAGCAAACGCTGTCAAATGCGAACCTCTGGGCCGCACCACCAGCCTCTCTCCCTTCTGGTTAAAGTGGGGAGTGGCGGGGAGGGGGAGAGAAGGCGGGGAAGGGCAGAGAGGAGGAAAGAGTGGGGTACAAAAGAGAAAGACAGTGGGCAGCAGGGTGGGGGGGAAGCTAGAGTGAGGAGAGGAGAAGAGAAAATGCTGGGAAAGAAAAGGAGGTGGAGGCAGGAGAAGAAAGGAGCCAGGTGGACAGGCAGCCCCTGGGCAAGGAAATGAGGGGCCGGCGGGGGGCGGGGGGCGATGGAAAAGGTGAGAAACAGAGAGAATGGACCTCAGCGGGGGCCGGCCACACGGGGGGGAGGTCAGGCAGGGTGGCCCAGAAGAGGAACAAGGGCACAACCCTGTGGAGGCACCTGGGGGCTCTCAGCGGGAGGGGTGGGGCGGGGAGCCCTGGATTTCCGGTCCTGGTGCTGAGGACCGAGGAGAGGGGCCAGCCAGGAGCCACACAGAACCAAGGCGCCACGCGGGGTCTGGCTCCACCCTAGGGAGACAGGCAGAGGCAGAGCCCATCCTTGCTGTTGGTGGCCGTGGGCGTGGGCCTGCGGCTAATAGCAGTGGCTCCCCTGGACTCCTTGAAGTGGGCAGGACACGCTTGTCACACGTCAGCTCTGAACAGAGCCTCCCAGGGGTCCGTGTGAGCCCCGCTCAGGAGCTCAGCGCTTCCGCAGTCCAGCTGGCCCCCAGCACCAGCGCTCAGGGCAGCTGGCGCGTCTGCCCGGAGGGCTCCCACCGCCCCGTGGGTGTGTCCGAGCGCCGCCGCTCACTGGGCTACCCTCTGCCTGGGTTTGGCCGCCTGTGCTGCGCCCTCGCAGGCCAGAGCCTGCCCTGGCGGGACCCCAGAGCTCACACAGCCCCTCCTAGGACGCACTGTACTTACTGTTGAGACAGTAGTTCCCACACTCTGCCGCGTGCCAGCGTGAAACAGAACAGGGAAAGTCAGGATTTCACAAGTCCTTGTAAAAACCCCAATTACCAACGCTGCAGATCACTGGAAACCAACCCCTTTTCCCTCATAAAGCCCGGCTGAGGGCCCACCTCGCCTCCCAGTCTCGGGGAAGGAGGGGTGAGGGGGAGGCGGCGGGGAACCCAGAGGATGCCTGTAGTAAGTTGTGTGACGCCTCTGGGGCTCCCCCGACCTTTGAATCTACAGTCTTCATTTACTCTAAGCCTAGCGGTTCCTTGCTAAAGAGCTACTTACCTTGTCAATGATTGTTACTTTTCTTGGCTCTAGGCTCCCTGTGAAAAAGGAGCAATAAGCCTGCCATCTGCCTCTTTCCTGTGGGGCAGAAAATGTTGCCCCAATTCCCACCCCAGCACCCCCTTTGCAAGCTTCCAGAACTCTGGCTGTTTTGCAACTAACAAAGGGCAGGGGAACCCTCCAGAAATGACACCGCTGAGCAGGATACAGTGAGAATAGACTCGCTGCAGTCAGTACACGCAGACGCTGGTTCCTTCTCTCCTAAACCACTGGGGTCGGAAGTCACCCACTGGCCCTTTGGGCCCTTTGTGGTTTGTTTGAACACACAGTACAAACATGACTCTATTTAATCTTTTAACCCTTTATATCTTTTTTTTTTTTTTACATTGTCTTTTCTCTGATGCGTTAGTTGAAATGTGTTTTTGTCACTTTCTCACATTTCTACCTAAAAGCTTGTGCCATTGGATGGCACACATACAAAAATACCCCAGTGAGTAGGAGCCTCCAAGCCGGGCAAAGCACATTTTCCACTTGAGGGACTTGAAATTCCCAGCAGACTCTGAGGAGCTGAGGGGAGGGCAGGGAGGGGCGGGCTCTTTCATGTAGTTGCGGATGTAGCAAAGGAAGGACGGCGGGGGCGGGGGGGGGGGGGGGCGGGGGGTTGTAATCCAGCTTTCCCAAAACCAGGGCTCCACCCAATTGACAGCATCCTGAGGGACGGCCGTCCAGCCTCCTTTCTGGGTGGGCAGCTCACTCGTCCCCAGCCCTTGGGGTCACAGTGCTACCAGGTACGGAAGTCTCATTACATGAAGCAGACTCAGTAGCCACTAGATAAACAAACACAAATCTTTGTCCCCACTCCCAGCCCTTGGCTATCTAAAGACCAGCATCTAGGCTGAATGTCCCCAATTTCTCATTGTTTAATCATACACCATCCTAAGAAAAGAAATTCCCAGTCATATGCATATTTTATTAATTTGGGTTTCTATGTACTGGGTCTTAAGTATGACCTATAGTTATGAAGCTATTTTTCATACACAGGGACCAAAAAACATTAATCCAAATCAGGCCCAGCAGTGTGATGTGAATCTGCTAAACGCAACACAAAATGTCCTTGACGCTACGCATGTGGCGCGTCATTAGAGGTCAGGCTGGACCCCACCTTTTAGGTCCTTGCCCCAAGAACGCACGCCCCAAGGCCAGGCGTGGTCTCGGCGGCTGCGGGTGTCTGGATGAGCAGGGATCAGGTCACTTGCTGCAGGGAAACACCCCCACCTAGTGGCCTGCAGGGTCCTGCCCAGTCTGAGCCCAAACTGCTGTCAGCAATGAAGGGACAGGAAGGAGGACCAGCTCCTCTTTCCTCCCCAGGCAGCCTGTGTGCTGCTGGCGGAGGGGTCCCAGGGCAGAAGAGCGGCCACACACAGCACATAGCAAGGGCTCGGAGAAGTCCCTCAGAAGAGAGCGCCATCCACCTGCATTTACCCCGACGCCTTTGGCCGCAGAACCCTCCGCCCATGTTGGGCATGTGCATGTATGTGTGTCTGTCTCTCTGTGTGGGCCAAAGAGCCACTAATATTTGTTCAAACGTGAGATTTTCATGTGCACGTTGTGAAATTCAGCTTTAACTTATGAGTAACTTACGTGGATACAAGGTCTGTGAGGAAATGAAACACAAGATGGGTAAATTGGGATGAGCGTAGAAGGAGGGAAAAGAAGTCTCCAAGAATGGGGGATATTTGTTTTTGAGGAGGGAGGCCTTGTTGACAGCCCACTGGCGAGATGAGAAGGGGCCTCGGGATTGGGGTGCCGAGGTGTGAGGTGGAGGAAGGCGCCCCGGGGAGAGAGCCTGGACCACGGCGAGGAGGCAGCCACTGAGGTCGAGCCTCGTGACTCTTGTCAGCACCTGAAGTCATGGCTGGGACTCAGGGGAACCTGCGCCCCTCCTGTCTTGGCGGGTTCCCGAGCTGGCACGTGGGCTGCACTTTCTCAGCTGCTGCTTCAGGGAGCCTGCAGAGCCTTGGGGGCGGGGTGGGTGCCCCACGCCCACCTCGGTCAGGCCTGGGCTCTCCTGCCCCTGCCCCTGCCCAGGCAGGGGTCGAGGGGGCTCCCGAACCTGCCGTGGTGGTCTGGGTGCCTGGAACCTCGCTAGGGTGTGTCTGAGTTTTGGCCCCACCCGCCTGGACAAGTGTCCAGTCTCCGGACGAGGTCCCTAATGGGATCCACCTGCCTGCCACAAACCCCCTGCAGAGGTGAGAGAAAACCCAAATTAACCCCCAACTGAAACCCCCGACAGAGAAGGTGCCCCCAGCACGGGGGGGAATGGGGCCTGGTGCTGGCGACTGCCACTACGCGCTGCTCGGTGTAAAGGGGTGGGTCTAACTTCTGGGGAACACTAGGGAGGGGGTCTTGCTTTTGAAGCATGACCTGGTTTTGAGGCAGGGGAAAAAACCAAATCCTTAAATATTCAATACATGAGGCTACAAATCACCTTGCTGGATTAGACAGGATTCTCTCTGCCCACCATGGATGGCTTCCAACCAGGCCTGGCCTTCCAAGCTAAGAATCTACTCAATCTACCCAAACTTTTAGAATGTTCCTTTGCACCGCTATGGAACGATTGTAGGTGCCCACTTCCCGTCTTTTCCCGGTCCTTACTGGGACCAGGCGCTTTTCCCTGTACAAAGGCAGGCTGTGTTCTGCTGCGCGCCTGCGGGAGCCGGGGACGATTGTCGCTGAGGGCCCTCACTGGCTCCCAGAGCCCCGGTGATCCTCCGAAGCCCTGTGACGGGGCGGAAGGCCATGCCTCCCCGGGCTGCCTCTCCCTAGCATTGGCCATGGCGACCCTGGCACCAGAAAGACCACTTTTTTGTCAAAGCACAAGATAATGATACAACAGGGGGGTAGCTGGCAGTCCAGCCCTGTGTGTGGCAGAAAATGCCCCGCTTCTGTCCGTTCCTGGGTCTCGCCAGGCAGCCCAGACCCTCACCAGAGAGCGGCCCCTTCATTCTGGTGAAATTTGTTTCTCGCGGGACCTGAACCCATACTTACGGAGCTATGGACGCAAGCTTTTACATCTGTTAGGAACACAGGCTTTTACATCTGTTATGGCTACCGTTCTGCAGCGGAACACTGCACTTAGGGGGATCGCAAGTTATCCCGCCCTTCCTCCTTTAATTCCCAAAGCTGCCAACTGTCCGGTTAAGCGCAGACTTGGTATAGTGACCATTAGTTTTGGTAGCTAAGGAAGGAGCAAGTTTGCGTTGCTTGCGATGAAATGGAGACCTAGGAAATTCAAACACTGACGTGTGAAATCCAAACCCAATTTTCTGAATGAGCGACCGCTCCTGAACTAAATCTCTGCAAGTACACGCTCTGAGCTATCAAGGGTTTGCTTGTTAGACTTAGCATCAGGCTTGTTCACAAATGGAGCAATTACTCTTGTTTGGGGGTTATCATAGTATGAGCTATGTAAATACATATGTTTCATATGATTTGCCATGCAAGTTTCAAAATTCATTTAAGTATCATACTATTTAATCTTCCACCTGGCAAACTGGCATCTTTCATATTTTCCAGGACCGCTGCAAAACAACTTCTCCTATCATTCCATATACCAAAATATCTGCCAGTAATCTAGAGTTTTCCTTTAAGCCCTCCCTCCAATAAAAATCAGGAACCTGGAGGCCTGGCCAGTGTGGCTCAGTTGGTTGGAGCGTTCTCCCGTAAACCAAAAGGTTGCGAGTTCAATTCCTGGTCAGGGCACATGCCTAGGTTGCTGGCTCGGTCTCCAGTTGGGGTACATATGAGAGGCAACCAATCAATGTTACTCTCTCACATTGACGTTTCACTCCCCCCGCCTCCCTTCCCCTCTCTCTAAAATCAATACGGATGTCCTCAGGTGAGGATAAAAAAAAATCAGGAACCTGGAAACAAATGAGACAGCATATTCCGTCACTTAGCCTGGGGCTTTATATCCTCCAGCCTGTCTGCCTTTCTTTTATTAGTTCCTGAACAGGCAAGGCCATCCTGACACCTGAACAGGGAGGGCCATAGGGCCCAATGTGACGGCAGCCATGTGTGGGGAGGCCTCTCCTAGACACCAGGCCACAGCCTTGCCTCCCCCGAGCAGCTGTGGGCAGCCCAGTCCAGCAGGGGCCTGTGGGCTTGTGGTCTGTGACCTGCTCCAGCTTTCAGACAAGGGCAGGTGCTCAGTCGCTCGCAGCGCCTGCTCATGGATTTTATTTTTCTTGTAAATACTTAAAATGGCTAGTATTGTTTGAGTACTTACCAGCCTTCATCCCAGGAATAGGCACTGTCTATTTCATCCATACCACACCCTCTACTATTGCTATTTTTATTCTCATTTTACAGTGAGGAAACTGAGGCACCGGGGAACCTTAGGTAGCATGGAAAACAGCTTTCTGCAGAAGCTTACTTATACTTTCATTCGGAGAAGTACGATCCTTATTTTTCTGTATCTGGCAAGATTTGTTTTTAACATTCACAGGCAGGGGTCAAATTGTAGTCAAAACACTTATCAGCCCGTCAGGACAGGCTCGGAGAGGGCCTGAGCTGGAGGGGGTCCTGGAGGCCCCCCTGTGTTATGGGCTCCCCTTCCAGCTGCTGGGCTGCGAGGGCTTCCCAGGGAAGGAGCCAGGGTAGGGGCGTGGGGAGCTGTTCACCTGCCCGTACAGAAGGAGTTCCGCAGTTTCATTATTACATAACCACACTGGTTTCTATGTGACCGGCCACCTACGATGTCACTGAAACCACCGATGAAACGGCCAGTACAGCTGCCCTGGCATTGCCAGCTCTTTAGTCCGCCAGCGGTCTGTCCGCTGCCCCGCCCCCGCCCCCGAAGCCGAGCCCGGCCCCGCGTGTACCTTTCTGGCAGTGCAGACCCTCGAAGCCTAAGGGACAGTCACACTCATAGCCCTCCTTCCGGGGCTGGCAGCTGCCGCCGTGCGCACAGGGGCGCGCCACGCAGGGGTGGGCCGTGTTCTCCACGTTCACGCCCCAGCTCAGGCCATGCTTCACGTGGACGGCGCGGTCGTTCAGGGTGATCTTGGGGAGAGAACAGGCATGGAAATTCAGAACTCGGAAAATGCCTTGGCGGCCTGTAACAGGTCCCTCGCCGGCTGACCCAGGCTACGAGCAATCAGGGAGCCTTAAATGGGAGGGGGAAGGCCCCGTGGCTGCCTCTGGAGTCACACGTGAGGCAGGCGCTGGAGGGACAACGTCGGGCACCCGGAGACCCTGCGGAGTAAAGCGCCCACTGGTTCTGGAAAACCCGGTCACACAAGGGGTCAAAGAGAAGTCCCAATAACTACCACCCCACCACAGCAGGGGTCTCAACCCGGCTGCCTATGGGGACCCCCCGGGGAGTTCGAGGCAACGTGCCCGGGCAGGTCCCACCCAGATCAACTGAATCAGAACCTCGAAGGGTGGCACCCGGTTATCAGCTTGAAGAGCTTCCCAGGGGGTTCTGAGGGGCAGCCGAGGTTGGGATATGTCACCCTACAGAATCCAAAACAGAAGAATCCAAGTGGGAGCGGAGGCTTCAGGTGGTGGCGGAGGAGAAGCCCCTCGCGGGACTGCTGTGCTCTAGCCAGAGGCCAGCGTCCTCTGTGAGCGCCTCAAGCTCCGTCGTGGGACCTGGCCAACGGTCCCACCCGCCCCTCCTATCCTCCTTCCTGACACTCTCCACCCCCTTCCCCGCTGTTAAAGGAATCACCTGGAACTCAGCTGGCCTTCTCCCTCCTGCCTGGCATACTCACTGGGACCAGAGAGCTCCTTTGCCTCACCCGCTTGTCCCCGCAAGGGGGCTCTGGAGAAGCTGCTGACCTCTAGGAACAGGTCACGGGGCTCCCTCCCCCAGGTAAGCAGACCCACCGTCCTCCACCCTGACGCAGACTGCGCATCCACCCGGGGCTGCTGGTGTTTCTGCGTCTCCGAAGCTGCACAGGACTCAGGGGTGGGGAGAGACCCCCCCGGGGGGAACCCCCCACCCCGTGGGGCATCCTAAATGGCGAGCAATGGCGCTTCCTGCCACTAATCCAGGTTCCCACAGGCGTGTCTCGTCCTTGGAGAGGGTCGGGGGCTGGGAGAGAGCTCTGAGTCCTGGGCCTCAGAAGCTGCTAGAGAGCAGCCGGAATCTTTCCTTAGCCTCCCCACCATTCGCGCTGCAAGTGAAGGACTGAGCAACTGTCACATGTAGCGGACAAGCCAAGGACAGCACCATTCACCTCAGGACGCGGCGCGGGCAAGGGGCTACGCCTGACCACAGTGGTGGGGCGGGGGTGGCGAAGCCTCTTAGCACCTCCGCTTCCTTCCTAAGTGAGAATTTCAAACACAGGAGGAAACATGGCCGAGCCCACTCAGGACGGTGGGTCGGGGGAGACAGTGGTCTGAACTGAGGCGTCCCTGTCGCCACAGTTTAGCAGCAAAGGGAGACGCGTCAGAGTCAGCAAATACTGCCTGGACCCCACGCTGGGGCGCACGGCGGGGCGGGTGGTGGTGGTGCGCAGAGCCCCAGGGGCCCTTCCAGCTCCGGTGAGCACGCCGGACAGCCCCCACCTTCCCTGGCCTCCCCCACCTCGGCTGGGAAAGGGCCAGCGGCCCACGTCCACCCCTGCGGCCAAAGGCAAACGGGGTGACGCTGACAGCCGACAGGCTTTTCTTCACGTACTTTTTCTCTTTTTCTCCCGGGGTTCAGTGGCAGGGAAGGCGGGGTTGGAGAGTCAGCCTGCTGTCTGCCGCAGACAGAGCTCACTACTCTCTTAACTGGAGAGACCATGCCCCCCGCCCCCACCCCACCCCGGAGAGGGATAAGAGGGGAACAGGAGCCGGGTCAGCGCCCTGGGTCTCCGCTGGCGGAGTGTCTCCCCTGGGCGGTCTGTGGAAGGGCCCTTCCGTCTCTGCTCTTCAGGACTTGGCAACGTGCTCAATGAACAATAGCTAAACTCCGGGGCTGTGGGGAGCTGGAGGGAGAGTTGGTTCTTGCCTTCAGCAAACTGCAAAGCGACCCTACAGAGAAGCCCAGAGCCCAGACCTGCCGTTGGGCTCTGTTCACCTCCTGCCTTTTTGTAGAAGTTCCTGAAGCCACCCAATGCCAGCTGCCTCCCTCGGCAGCCCCAGGGTATTTTTGTGGATTTACTGTAAAAATTCATCTTCATTGAGTTATGTTCATGTTACGTCTGCTGGGCAGGGACCCAACAGCAGATGTTACAAGAAATGGGGCTGGAAAGCTATGCTGTAAGCATTAAAAAATGAAATCTTAAAAATGTTGAAACTTTATCAGAATTTCTTGGGGCACAGCAGGCTGCACACTGGCCACAATTCTCCATTCCCCTGTCCGCAGTCGAGGTCAGACAACACGCATGAGAAAGCGAAGCCTGTACCTTCTGGATGCTCCCGCTAAATGGCTTGCGGATACCCGACTTGTCCTTCACCTCGTTGTAATCGGGGACTCCGCCAATAAAAATATCCGTGTTGCAATTAATCTGTGTGAAGCCACCCTGCCAACAGATGAAAAACAAAACACGTATCACTTTTAAGAAAAGATGGTTGAGACGATCGCACGTGCCTTTGGGTCCTTGTTGCCTGGTCCCCTCCAAGACTCATCACGGCAACCCGTCCTCGCGTTGGCTTGACTTGCACGTGGCTCTGCTTTGCCGCTGACCACCTGTTTGGACGTTTGTAGGTTTCCTAATCTCTCGGAGACTCACGTTCATCATCTAAAAGTGGGGGTCACAACAGCGACCTCACGATGTGTCGCAACAAAGGCGGTAGACTGCTCATCAGCAGTGCCCTCTCCTTTCAGGAAGGCGACCTCCAACATGTCTACCTCAGGTGAGGCCCTGTCCCTGGTGTTCGTCAGCAAAACTAAGCAGAAGAGAAAGGAACCACGTCCGGGCAGAAGCTTTCAGGGCCAGGGGGTGGTTCCCCAGGCCTTGCTCCCAGCCCCGCTCCTTCCACCTGGGGTCTCAGGCTACGGCCGCAGCTGGCCGCTGGTGGACCCGGAGCATGAGTGAGACGTGAGCCCTGTGGTAGCCGCAGAGAGCGGGCTTGCCGGGACCGCCGGCGGCACCGTCTGGCCCAGCCTGACACTGAGCTGGACCCCCTGCAGGCCTCTGCGGTGCCCTCCACACGCTTGGTGGAGGGACAGAAACGCTGAGCAGCTGCCCGGCGGGGAGTGCGGGGCTTGGCCCAGGCAGTCTGGCTCTGGTGTCCACGCCCTTAGCCATAGCCCTGCCGCCCTCGCCGCCAGGACGGAAAGAAAACAGCAGCCCCGTGCAGCCCCCACCCCACCCCACGCGGTCAGGAGCCCAGGGGAGTCCTTACCGCCGCCATGCCCTCCACCACCTTCTGCTTGTCCACCTGTAGGAGGCCATTCTTCGCCGTGCGAGACACACGCAGCTCGTGCCAGTGGCCGAGGGCAAGGGGGTCTTCACTCCTGTCGGGGGAAAGGGCACCGAGTGCACATTAGCGTCCTTGGTCACAGATAATGCTCATCAATCTCGCTCTGACGATGCCCATGCCAACCTCAGGCACCTCACTCTGTTGGCAAGAGAGAATGGCCATTCCTGCTTAGCAAACACAGCAGCATTCGCTCCATTTATAGGGCCTCTTCATGGTAAGGATGTTGAATTTATTATCTCATTTGTTCTTTACAAGAGGCCTGAAATGTGGGTGGGATGAGCCTTGTTTTCTAGATGAGGGGTAACAGGAGGATAAAATGTGATCATTGTTGCACACAAGCTTTGAAGAAGAGAAAATTATGTGGTCTACAGCGTATAAGAGATTCCTTGGTGTACTGATGTCTGCAGCACTTGCTGAAATGCATAGAAAAATAGGATGGATGGAAGGAAGGGAAGGCAGGGGGGAAGGAGGGAAGGAGGGAAGGATGGAAGGAAGGGGGAAAGGAAGGAAGGAAAGAAGGAAGGAAAGATGTATAGGAGGAAGGCTAGATATTGAATACAAGCAAATACAGCAGAGCCTTAATTGTAGACTACAGGAGATGGGTATAAGGATGTTTACTGGCCTGTTCTTTAAACTTTTCTGTATGTTAGAAATTTTTCATACTAAATGTTAGGGCAAGGACAGGTTTCATGTTGTCTGATGTTGTGAAAAGGATTAAAAGTATTTAAAAATTCAGTGTTTAATTCAAGGTGGAAGCACTTGAAGTTTAAACGATAACGGTAAGAGTTTTGCACATTCCTTTTTACAGTGAGGTGCGCAAAAGAGCACAAGTATTGCATTTGTATTTCTAACACCATGGTTCCTGGCCTTCACTGCACCTCCCCATTATTTCATGGTCCTGGAAAACCATCAGGAATACCAATGCCCACCATCATTGAAAGGTCTTCACCTTCTTACTTGATTTTTTTTTTGCACTGGCAAATGCTTTTGTGATTTGTCCTGGCAATTAGGATTTAATCGCCTTGGCTAAATCAATATGCAATAAAGAAACCAGTGTGCTTTTCCTGTGGCCCCGTGTCCATGATACGCAGCAGCGCCTTAGCCACGCTCCGCCTGGCAGCGGTCAGCTGCGTCGATGCGCTGCCTCCCCAGCACAGCTACGTGTCCGTCACGGTCACCACAAGCTCATTACAGTTGTTATGATTTTTGAATCAAGTTCATAATCCATTTGACCACTGTACTCTTTCCCTACAGTTAAAATGCTACGGCCCATTCCACAACGTCCTAGTTCAGGCTTTCACGGAAGTTTGTTAATTCAGCAAGAAGCCTCTGAAATGGTTTGTAACATAAATTGTCCCCCTCTTCTGTTTTTCCAAGGGGCGTCTGGGACACCGACAGTGACTGCAGCGGTCAGGTGACCCAGGAGGGGGGACGGGACAAGGGCACAGATGGTCAGTCCTTCCTCCTTGTGAATGTTCGCCTCCTTTTCTTCACACCTACCATGCGAAAACTCTGTTTCCAGGTGCCTTTCCTCACAGGCAGGAAAACAATAAGTTATTTTTTTTTTTAAAGAATTAAAAAGTACTCTTGTCAACAGCAGGCAGAGAATTAGGAAGAAAGAAACGCTGGACTTCTGCGGCCCCGTGTGTCCGTGACCCGCACCGCTGTGGCTGCCATGCTGAGGTGCGGGGAGCGGTCTGCCCCGAGGAGGCCTCGTGGCCTTGACCCCGCCTGGCTCTTTCTGGTCATTCTTTACCCAGGACGGAGCCATTTCAATGTACAAGGTGATATGAAAGATGTCTTCCTTCTTCAACTTGATGAACAGTTCTTAGTGAATTGCTTAGACTGGTTTGCATAATCCTATGTAAATTGAATCAATTAAATACCCACCCAGGATGCTTTTGCAGAACCAGAGGTACAAAAATGTCTGTCTGTTCCCCAGGTGGGAGGGGTCATTGAAGCGTAGGGATTTGGCCACAAGGACAGAAATGAACTGTCCTTTAGAAGAATTATGAAAAACCCAATGCAGTGAGCACTTCCTGTCACCATGAAAAATGACTGGCCATTAAGGGCAATGCATGGCTGTGACATCTCACCCCCATGCTCTTTCTGCAAATGACAGTCCCGCAATATGAATGGAGCTTGAATGTGACCTGCGACTGCCTTCGAAACAACGACACACTCACAGATTTCCTGCTACAGGGCACCACTGACGCAGAACATCCCAGGGAGTTTTGAAACAGAAGAGGGGGACAAACACAGGAACAGAAGCGCGTTGCATTAGATGAGCGGGCCTCTGGCTTGACGGTAACAAGTACCACGGGAAGCGCACAGTTAAGAAGCGAGACACAAACAAATAAGAAAAACGTATAAAAACCTCCCGATCACGGGCTCCGAGGGACGCACCACGGTCCTGACATGCTGTACAGGAACAATCGATCTGCCAAGTAAACCGATACCACAAGCCGGGTATCGGAAGGGAAGTTTGGCGCCACAGAACCAATTCTGCAGATCCCAGCAAGTGCCTGAGGCGCCAATTTACCTCCGTGCGGCGGTTGAAAGCCCTCCTCACACAGCCTCGGGAGCACACTGTCGGGGGTGGGCCTCTGCGGTTGCTGATGGTTCACTGTCAGGGAACCGCAAGGGGCTCGCCAGAGGACCAGCCACCATGCAAAGGGTGTAAGAGGAAAGCTGACCATTTAAAGTGAGGTCACTGAGGACATGGCTGTGCGCTAAATTTCTGTCAATACTTTTTTACTACTCATTATGTAGTTGCCGAGCACCCACCAAGGGATGCTGCGGGCACGGCGCTGATTAATGACAACTCATCGAATTTCTGCTGGCGGCCTGGTGCGACCCCACGTGGAAAGGAAGGTAGTGTACCCTCAACAGAAGCAAACCCGTTTTCCTCAGCCTGAAGCAGAGAATCACTATCTATTGGGCAGTTATTTGAAAAAAGGAAACCTCGCCAACAGGACAGCATGATCCATAGGAAGCATGTCAGCAGCATGAATCAGGACAGTTTCAGAAAAGACAACTGTAGGGAAGACAGGAAGATCACAGGCCATTGAATGACAGTCACCTTTCCCCAGAGGGGCTGCAGTGTGGCTTTTGGGGGGCGGGGCCCCGAAAGGTCTCAGCCCTTACCTGAGAACAGCAGTCCCAGAGCCGCAGTCGAAGCGGAACTCCACGTGGCCGCCTGCCATGTTGAGGGACAGGAAGTCCTTGCTGCCCGTGTCGTAGCTGTACAGGAGGACGCCGTCGCCCGAGTCCGGCCGAAACGTGATCTCAAACTCCGTGAAGGAAAGGTAATGCCGGGGCTCCAGGGGCCAGGGCGTGGCAGCGTAGGATCTCAGGGACTCTCTGAACTGAGGGATGGCCAAGGTGAACGCTGAAGAAACAAGCACGGCGTTAGGAGCCCCTCCGCGGCAGGGCTAGCCGCGCTCCCTGCCTCCTGCACGCAGAGCTCAGCGAGGTTTCCCAGCTGCCCTGCGGCGTGCGTGCGGCGGGGGCTCTGACTGAATTCTGGCCCGTGGGGTGTGGCTGGGAGCACTGAGCAGCACCCCGGGTCTGGCCCCTAGAACCCCCTCCATCCTCCTGTGTTCCCTGCTCCCTCGCCCGCTGGCTGGATGCAGCAATCAGTGGACGCCTCTGAAGCCCCAGCAGGGCCCCCGGAAGGCAGGGGCCTGTGTCCCTGAGCGACTGCGCGGAGCAGCGGCCGCCCCTGCAGCACCAGCACCCCCGCTGAGCTGCAGTGACCTGCAGGGGGAGCGGGGTCCACCTTCCTCACGCCAGGCTATGCCAGCACAAGATGGCGTGGGACAGCCCCGGCCTGCCCTGACTCCCAGGCCCTCTGCTATGGGACATGGGATTTTACATTCTCTAGAAAAACATGGTCTCCTGGGCAGCGTCTTAGGTCCGAATCTCAATCGCTGGTGGAAAAGCAAAAATACATTGCATTCTGCATGGTTTTCCAAAAGTTTCCATTATTCTATGTATGTATTTGTGTGTGCACATGTTTCCATGTACGTATACATTGCATGTAGATGTAATTGATCACATTTATATAATCAATACATACAGTATTAAGAGGTGGGAAAATTCAGCAGAAATTTGAAACAAGACCCCTGCTGTCCCATCGCATTGTTAAGGTCTTTGGCATGTCTTCCCAGCCTTGCTCTGAAACTCAATGCTTTGAATTCGGCCTGACAACATAGGCCACACAAATACAGGGTTTTCTAAGTTATCGGAGGGTCACGAGGAGCCCACTGAAGCCTGGCCCAGGAGCATCTTCAAGTGAAGGTTCAGTTTGACACTTACACCTGAAGACACTCCAACCTATTAAAAAAAAAAAGATTCTCCCAAGCCTCCCATGAAGGCAATGTTAACCCCATAAACATGCACCAGGCTTTGCATCAACGCGCAGATAGAAATTGCCATCCACTTGCTTCTCCCTCACCTTCCTCGCAGTGTCGACCTTTAAATCCAAGGGGACAGAGGCAAATGTAGGAGTCAGCTCTGACCGCCGTGCAGGTGCCGCCGTTGACGCAGGAGGCCTCGTCGCAGATCCCGCTGCTGCACTCACCTGGAGACAGATTGGAGATTAGAAACAGGCTCGTCGCGAGCTGGTCTGAGACCACGGGCTGGCCGTGCCGATGGCTCAGGGCTCGGAACGAACACACTCCAATCCCCTCTCCTGCTGACTTGCACCTCAGTGTGACTGCAAGCCAGCCAGCAGGGTAGGTGGAGCTGGCCCTTCTCTTCAATTTGATCCTGGCTTGTTCTTTTGGAACAGCTGCTGAGACTCTTTAGGACATGGTGGACCCAATAAGTCACATGACAGATTTTGGAACGATTTTATGACCACCGATGGGGATGGCTGAGTTGTTTCTGCTTGAATTCACCCGTCTGTTGTTCCTATAAGAGTGGGTTTCAATGTCTCTAATGTCAACAGGGTGTGCATGTTAAAAGTGGTCTAATTTGTGAGGCCCCAATGCCCTAAAGTGCTGCCTCCTGTTGGTCGAAAATTGAGGCAACCAAGACAAGTGCTGAAGGGGTTAAGCAGCCACATCTAAGCTTATTAACTGACTGAGTCAGGCACTCCAGGGCCTGGAGCAGCTGACAGCAAGGAAGGAGGGGAGAGGGAGGGAGGAAGGGAGGGAAGGAGGGAGGGTGGGGAGAGGGAGGGAGGACCCCATAAGACCTCAGCGTGTGACCTCAGGATCCCTATTTCTACCTCAAAGCTGCGATCTTATGAGGACGAGGAAGATGGCCGCAAGCAGAGAGTGCTGAAAGGTTCGGCACCAGATGGGTTGGTTGGTTCTCTTAACCAAACACACACACATCACACATCAGAGAGGCCCAGGGAGCGTGCGCTTGGTCATTTTCAAGTGCAGATCACCTGATGACAGGAAAACAAACAGACTTTTCCAGGGCTGCCTTTCTTCTGCCTCTTTGATCTTCCTTTTCTCCTTGTGTATAAGAAATAGGTAAGGCAGATGGGCTAGGCTACACCAGTGACCGCAGAACACTTTTTGGGGGGATGTAAGGAAGGGGGTGCCTCCCGATGGAGCCGTGAGGGTCCAGCTGTGTCCCTGGTGGCCGCCTGGGACCTGATGCTGCTCCCCCATGAGCTGGTGGCCGCCCCTGCGAGAAGATGCGCCCTCCTGGGCCTGACGTGTCATCTCAGCAGGGTGAGGCTCTGATCCTTTCTCATCGGCTGTCCGTCCGTCCATGTTTGCCGAACTGATCTGGCCTTTCCCTTTCTTAAGGCCTCACTGGGCAGGACTGGGGGCAGAGGGCGGGGGTCACTGGGCACCCAGGAGAGCAGACAGACATCAGGGGCTGGTCACGGAACTTAATGAAAGCCCTTCCAGAGGGCCTGCCCCTCTAGCTGGGCGGTCCAGCCTCTGGGAATTCCAGCGGGGGGCCACTGAACATTCAGGATGTTCAGCCGCAGCATCCACAGGTGCCAGGCAGGCTGACTTTGACCTCGAGAACCAAACGGCCCACACCCTAATTTCTGTGGGCTGAGATTCCTTCTCAGAGGAGGGCTGGGCCCACAAGAAGAAGTGGGCCCTCGGGTTATCTTAGATACACATGAAAAATGTTTTTTACACATTTGTATTATAGTTATTTTTTAAGAGGTGGCGTGAATGAGGGTGTGAAAGCCAGCCGCAGTTGTTGACTTGGTGAAAGCAGTGTGACAGCCACCTTACTCTGGCAGTGACACGCAACCAAGGTGATTGCGAGCCATGGGGCGGGAGAGGGGAAATAAATGCCCCAGGAAGGAAAGCAGGCTGGACGGCTGTTGGCAGAGCAAACGGAGAGAAGGGGAAGAGTCCAAGGGGCACAGCAGAGGAAGGAACAGCCCGTTCCTTCCAGGATCAGAAGGTGGACCTTCAAGGTTCCTAGTTTGAAGATGAAAGAAGCGCAGCAGAAGGAAAGGCAGGAACGCGCCGTGACGGAAATTGGCTTCGGCTCAGCGGAAGCATCAGGCGCCTGTGGAAACCTCTGCTGCCGAGCCCCGCGGGCAGGAGGGGTCTGCACACAGGCGAGGGAGGGAGAGGCCAGCACAAGGCGGGCTGATGCCAAGAACGAACGGACCCCCAGAAAGAGACCGGGATGAAAGGGTCCCTGGGACTCCCCGGGAACCACAGCGGGTGAGAAGACAGAGGGAGACAGGTGACAAGCCTTGGGACCCAGATGGGGCAGGTCCACGGGGCTCAGGGAGGGGCAGTTGCATTAGTACTGGGAGGGGGGCCAGAGGGCGGGCTGATGGGTGTGCGAGGAGCGGGTGACTCAGGGTTTTGGGACAGCAGCTTTGCTGGGAGGCAGAGGCCCCCAGGACAGCAGGTCGGGCGTGGCCTGGAAGGGCTGCTGGAGTCAGGATTGGAGAGAGGAGAGCGGTCCCCAGGATTCCCAAACCAGGAGAGTAGCAGGGCAGCGCAAACGTGGTGCTGGTTTAAGCTGGCGGGGGCCTGAGCTAGTGTGAATTAGCGAGGGCTGGGGGTCCGTGAACTCAGATGGGAAAAACAGTCTTTATTTTCCCTCACTTCCAGCTGGAGCTGAGTTTTTCCTCCAATGATAGCCGTAGACAGCAAACCTCCGGTATTAGCAGTTCTTGCGCCTTGGAACCAACAGACCTGACTTATTGTCATATCATACTCCATTCATTGCGGAGACCTCAAAATACCATTTGTGCTGCTTACTATCTTGAAATCTTGTCATTATTGCCACCACCATGAAGTAATTTTGTTCCTTAATGTCTTATAGAGAAGCCTATGTATTTTTATTAACATCAAAATTTTAAAATATTGGATAGTTTTAGTTCAATATAATTGTTCCCTGTCATGCACATTTTTTCTCTGTGTTTCAAGAGCACTGCTCTGAGAGGCGCCCAGAGCCCTTCCCCGGCCGCCCCAGGGCCCGCGGCGCGTCGAGGCGGAGAGCCCTCGGTTGTCGAGCACAGAGCCCCGGCGGCAGGTCCCAGGCACTCAGGTGGTTTGGGTGCAGAGTGTAGATGAGTAGGTTAGTTTTAGTCGGAAGAAAAACTTTCAGCTCTGAGAGTGGAAGGAAGGAGGCGCGAGAGCTTGTGTACGGAGTCGGCAGGAGCCCTTTATCACCATCAGGGTATGAAATAACTTCATTGGCACTGACACCTGCTGTGGACCAGCCGCTGTGGAGGTCTCTGCAAGGTAACGAGGCGAGGGGCGGAGGAGAAATCAGACTCTTGAGGAGGAAAGGGAAGGTAGGACATCGTCGGGGGCGGGGGATACATCAAGGAGACATGGATAATGAACTGCCCCCCTGTCTCCGCCCCACCAATCCAGCCCAATAACTGAGGTTAGGCTGTTTCTTCCCCTAAAGATCGATCAAGTCCGTCGCCACGACTACCTCCCTGGACTCACCACCGCCAGCTGGGGCCCCTGACGAATGTCCCATTTGCTGTCTGCAGTCGGAGGGGCCTTGTCAGCACACAAACAAGACCTTGGTACCCACCCCTCCTCCACCCTCCCCAACAAGCCATTGTCTCCGCTTGCAAGGTACCTCCCTCTCTTCGCTGCTTTCTAACTCCCCCTCTTGCTTCAGAGGTTATGGAGGGCACTTTGCATCCTCAGAAGAGTATGCCCTGAGCGGCAGCGCATGAAACCTCCCGACACACGATTATTGCACCGTCCTTGCTCCTTTGCATCCCTTACCCCAAGTTTACATTTACTTGTAGGGCTGTTTGATTCACTGGGCCTATCCTCCAGGCAGCTACAGCCGGGCTGAGCTGGGACCCTCTGACTCGTTCCTCACTTTATCTCCGGCACCCAGCGTTGTGTCTGGCCCCAAGCAGGTGCTTAAATAAACAGGTAGCAATGCAAACAGAAATGAGTAAGAGTGATAAACCACAGGCCACTGCAGCCCTCGGGAGCCTCACATGGCTCGGGCAGCTGCCCCTGGCCTTGCCCCAGAGGGGTAGAGAGCCCAGACAGGGTTGGAAAAAAATGAGTGCCGGCGGTTTAGGTTGGAGAATTCGGGTGGAAATAATAAAAGAAAAGGCTGGGCCAGAGAATGCAAACATTTGGGTAGGACTGCTGACTTGCAGAATGTGAGTTCGGAGAGTCCCATAGCGCGGGACAATCTCATGAAGGAGGTGAAGCGGGAGGGGCGGGCAGGGAAAAGCCCCTGCGAGGAGCGGAAACCAGCTGGGGAGGGTGGGAGGCGGGGCAGAGGAAGAGCTGTGGTTGAAGGTGACAATGCCGAGTTCGAGATGGAAGACGCAGCCCTGCAGCTGCCGTCACCGCTGCTGGGAGCCTGTGTCGTGTCTCCACCAGAAGTCCACTGCTGTCTGCGCGAGCCCGGTCTCCCCTGGCGGGGGGACTGCATTGAACTTACGAGAACTTGAACGTCAAGACTAACTCAAAGTAAAGAAAGTACAGGGGTGGAAGAAAGAGAACCAGCCCTGTTCTTATGCCCCAGCAGGGACAATGGGAAGAAATGAAAATAGGCAATGCGGCCGATGCCTGTCATTTAGGTTCAGAGAGAAATCCAATAACCCAGTAAGAGCCCAGAGCCAGCAAGGTGAGCCTGCTGCTGGTAGGCGGGGGAGCTGGTATCGCACTGTGTGAGAATTTAAACGCTGTCAGAAATTGGTCCTTGTTTAACCTTGCAGCTCTGAACTGCCTGTCAGAGGTTACCACGCAGGCTCCAGCCTCCTAGAGCGAGCCCATCAGGTCATGAAGAGAGAAGAAACATTATACCCTGCTTGATGGGTGGAGTCAGAATATCCATAACAGAAAATATTTACATGTTTGCTATGTGCCAGGCAATAGTACTTAGTATTCTAATACTCTATATGTAGCACAACTAATCTGGACAAAATCATCTCATGAGGTTGCTACTATTCATAGATGGGGAAATTGAGTCCCAGAGAGGTTAACTGATTGGCCAAATCCAGGCCATCTGCCCTCAGAGTCCAGGCTCTTAAACAGCACAGGAGACTTCTGAGGCGCCTGCTGCTTCTTATGTTCTCTTTTTTATCCTCATGCAAGGATATGCTTATTGATTCTAGAGAGCAGGGGAGGGAGGCAGAGAGAAAGGGCAAGAAACACCGACTACTTGCCTCATACACCCAGATCAGGGGCCAAACCTGCAACCCAGGTATGTGCCCTGACAAGGAATTGAACCGGTGACCTTTCAGTGTATGGGACGACACTCCAACCAACTGAGCCACACTGGCCAGGGCTGCTTCTCAGATTCTCAATCATCCCAGATACCTAAGAAGAGGATTTGGAAGACACTGTCCTACCACAGCAGGAGCTTTCTAATTGTTTTGGTGATGGCTGTTTGTTGTTCAGTTTAAGTGATGAACTGGGGGGAAAATAATATAGGAAATAACAAGGGATTTAGAATAGCAATTTGTTCTTTTTAAGCAAACTGCATCTTTTGTACGTTTTACATGGGCACGACCTCCTGGAGTGAGCAGGGCGCAGGGAAGCAATCTGAACCTGCCTGGGACCCTTCGGTGCGGTGCGTGAGGGTGGGAGGGCAGGCCCTGGCGCCAGGGTGGCTGAGGCCACACTCAGGCTCCACCACTTAGCAGCTGCGTGACCTTGGGCAGGTGATCTAACTGTTCTGTGCCAACCACTCTCATTAGCTAAGGCTGATCACAGCCCCTACGTCAAAGGCTCCTCGGAAAGATTAAAGTAGTTTAGAATGGCGGCCACATCTAGTAAACGCTCAGCTAACATCAGCTGCAAACCAGACAAAACAAGCTGTGCCTGGAGATGGGAGGGGCAATGCAAGGACGTCAATGGTGGAATCTGGGCAGTGGGTACAAGGCGTTCACTGGGCATTCTTCCGAAATAACACCCTGGAGATGGAGGGAAAGAGACCCAAGAAAGGGACTTGCCATTTCTTGCCAAGGACAATGTTGTGTGTGGATGTTGTGATTAGAGATGTAGCACCATCTTGGGATTATGAGTCAAAGCAAGGGAGACAGAGACACCAGCCTGGAGTTCTGATACCACCAAGTCACTGTTCTGGACTGAACAGTCTCCCCCAAATCCATAGGTTGTCACTCTGACACCCATTGTGCCTGAATTTGGGGATGGGGCCTTTGAAGGGATAATTAAGATTAAACGAAGTCATACAGGTGGGCTGTAATCCAGTCTGAGTAGTGTCCTTACAAAAAGAGGATGAGGCAGCAGGGATGGGAGAACAGGCACAGGGCCACGTAAGGACACAGTGAGGAGGTGCCACCTGCAGGCCCAGGAGAGTGGCCTCGGGAGAAACCAAACCTCCGGCACCCTGGCCTTGGCCTTCTAGCCTCCAGAACGGTGAGAAAACAAATTTCCATTGTTTAAACCACCAGTCGGTGGTATTTGCTAAGGCAGCCCTAGATGATGAAAACAGCCACTTAATTAACTAACCTTAGAATTATCTATCTACTGCCTTCAGTGATAGAATAAATGTCCTTATTGTGTTAATAACAATCCTAGTCTTGTCAACAAATAATGCTGGAACAACTGGACATCTGCATGCAAAAAAAAAAAAAAAAAAAAGAAACAAACACAGATCTCATATCCTTCACAGAAATTAACTCAAAATGGATCACAGACTTAAACATAAAATGTAAAACTATAAGCTTCTAGAAGATAAAATTAGGAACAAACCTAGATGACCTTGGGTATGAGGGTGACTCTTTAGATACCACACTAATGGCAGAACCCATGAAATAAATAACTGATAAGCTGGACTTCATTAAAATTGAACATCTCTAATCTGCAAAAACAGTGTCAAGAGAATGAGAAGACAAGCCACAGACTGGGAGAGAATATTTGCAAGAGACATCTGATAACAGACTGTTATCCAACATATACAAAGAATTCTTAAAACTCAGTAATGAAAACAACCCAGCTGAAGAGTAGACTAAAGACCTTAACAGATCCCTCAATAAAGAAGACACACAGATGGCAAATAAACACATGAAAAGGTGCTCCACATCATATGCCATCAGGGAAATGCAACTTACAAGTTATCACCGCCCATCTATTAGAATGGCCAAAATCTGCAACTCTGACAACGCCAAATGCTAGCAAGGGTGTGGACCAATAGGAACTCTCATTCATTCCTGGTGGGAGTACAAAAGGGGACAGACACTCTAGAAGACAGTTTGACTGCTTCTTACAAAACTGAACACACTCTGCCATGATTGAGCAATCACTCTCCTTGGTATTTATCCAAAGGAGTTCAAAACTATGCCCACCCCAAAAAGTAGATGTTTATAGTAGATTTATTCATAATTTCCAAAACTTGGAAGCAACTGAGATGTCCTTCAGTAGGCAAATGAATAAACTGTGGTCTATCCAGACAACGGAATATTATTCCGCACTAAAAAGAAATGAACTATAAAGCTATGAGTAACTGAGAGAAGCCCATCTGAGAAGGCTATCTATTGTACAATTCCAATTGTATGGCATTCTGAGACAGGCAAAACTATAGAGAATATAAAAAGAGCCGTGGCTTCCGGGGGCTGGAGGGAGAGGGAGGAGAGAGATGAACAGGCAGAGCACAGAGGGTTTTTAGGGCAGTAAAAATACTCTACATGATACCATAATGATGAGTATATATTATTAGACATTTGTCCAAACCCACAGAATGTACCAGCATGAGTGAATCATAAGGTAAACTATGGGCCTTGGGTGATTATGACGTGTCAATGTAGGTCCCTCAGTTGTAACAAATGTACCACTCTGGTGGGAGATGCTGGTAACGGGAGAGGCTATGCAGGTGCTGGGATGGCGGGGGGGTGGGGCGTATATGAGAAATCTGTGTTCCTTCCCTCGATTTCCATGTGAATCTTAAACTTCTCAAAAAATAACATCTTAATTTTTTAAAAAAGAAAATGGGAGAAAAAGGGGAAAAAAACTCTCCTAGCCCACTATTTGGGATGAGTTACTAAATTTACAAGCCCCAGTTGCTTCATGTATAAAATAGGTATCAAGATAACTTGTGCCTCCTAGAGTGAACACGAGGGATGAGCGAGCAAGCGCAGGAGGACGTGCCAGGCGCGGTGGCCGAGACCTGGAGTCTGGCCGTCGCTCTAACCCCAGGGAGCACGTGAACGCCCTCCTTCCATCGCTGTGTTGGCTTTTCCGGGGCACAGGCGAGCCTGGGTGAAGGGCGCAGCTGCGTGCTGCCCTGTCTGGTGAGACCACGCCACACTTCAGGAAGGGGCCATGGGGGCAGCGCTATGCAGCCCAGGGCTTGTGCGCCGCGCTGCTTATGTGCCTTGGGGTTCGGATGCAGGGTCTGCAGAGCTGCAACATCACCCCCAGAGCCCCTCTCCTTCCCGCAGCGCTCGGCTGCCCCCCTCCCTGGCCCACCGGGAAAGGCCATCCCCGAGAGTACCCCGACCGTGAGGCAGCCACTTACCCACGTCGGCCCCGCTGAGCGCCTTCCCCACGGGCCAGGGCCTCAAGTCCATCCTCTCCCCATTCACTGTGAGCGACTGCACGCAGCCCTGAAAGCCTCGGTGGGCTCCGGTGGCTCTGGCCAACCAGTAAGTACTGGGAGCCCCACCAAGATAAAGAGGCGTCCGGAAGGTAATTTTACTGTAATGGCCCTTAAAGAAAGAGGAAAACAGTGATTCGCGGAACAAAATCAAAAGTCAAAAACACAACTTGGTTTTGACACGATTAGGATGTAGTTTTACAGCCATCCTTACTGATCTTGAAGACATCGCCCTACAGCAAAGTTTGACCCACGGTTCCTGTAGGAAACTCAGCGAGCTTCTCCAAGGGCTGTTTGGAGAAAGGATGGCTTTGGAAAGCCTAGAAGGGCAGGGAGAGAAAGTCAGGGCCAAGAGTGACCCAACGGGCAGTGTACCCCGCTGGGCATCCAAAAAAAACTTTCTGCTTCCAGTCCTGACACCAATTTACTGTGTACCTTGGATGGATCACAGAGCTACCCTGTGTTTCAAAAGGCGATAATGCTAATTTTGTGTATATGTGGGCTGACATTTACCCCTTCCCTGTCCTCCTCACCTTCACACTATATCCTGCAAGAAACAGCGGGGTGGGGGGAGGTGACCAAACAGGTTTTATTGCAAAATATTTTGAAATATGCTTATGGACACAACTTTTTTTTTAAGTGTTATTATAGTTAGGTGGAGACATTTCCAGTCAGAGAGCAAACCACAACCTGGATTGCAGGTTTTGAGGTTATAAAAGATAGAGCTGAACATTAGGTGGGATAAAATTAAGCCACCCTTGGTCATCTGGTTTTTTTGACTGTGGAAATATCGCATTCATTTGGATTAATGGCTACATAGAAGTGGGATGGGAAAAGGCACACTGCCAGGCTTATATAATGTCCAGAAGGTACGCCACTGAAATGTAATCTTTATCTTTTACACTTTGGGCCCAGCAATCTCATCCTAAATTACAAAATCTCGAAAAACACGTGCCAGATGTGCAAAACATGTTCATAGCATCAGAAACTGCAACAGTAAAAAAGATCTAGAGCAAAAACGAGAGCGTCTAGTCATGGCTTTACCTCTGCTACTGAACAGATAAGGCCCCTGTGTAAACAGCAAACTGAACGTGAGCCAGGCAGACTTAAAGCGTCAACCATGAATTCTACGGCCTGCCCGCCGGCCTCTGACCCCGGCTTTTGTTTCCCAGTTGGAGTGCCCTGTCGGCTTATTTCATCAACATCCTCCGAATTCACTGGCCCTGTTCCCAGACCCAGGACCAGGGCCCCTGACAGCTCAATCCTTTCCTCCTTTTCTAGAGCATCATGTGCATCGTGGAGCATCACCTGGTCCCTCTGAGGCCCCGCTTGCGACATCCCAGGCCGTAGTCTTCGAGCCTGGCCTTTAGCCCCCTCCGATGAGGCTGCCTTCGGGTCCCGGAGCCTGCTTTGCCTGCTTATGCAGGGAGCTGGGGCCCCCCAGAGTCTGCATTCCCCCAGCACGGCCCTGAACAGTTCTTAATGGGGGCTGAAGTATGAACATCCAACTCGCTTGTTCTGGGCTGGAATCCCTCTGAGGTGTAATGTACACGCAAGCTCCCCGGGGCTGAGGCAGAAGCCAGGCCCTGAAGGGCTCTGCCCGAGGTCTCACTCACGCTGACTTCAGTCCTGCTCTGTCCACCGCCCCCTCCCTTACGGGTTTCCTGTGGTGGCACTTCCCTGTGCTCCATTCGCACAGACTCATCTCATCGGGTCTGCTCTGGGGAAGCCCAGCTGCAGACAGTCATTCTCCCCAAGCAGTTTGTTAAACGTTTAACCCCACATCTGTGATCCTGCTTCTACAGCTTGCATAGCCAGTCCTGGTAATAGAGGCACACATGGCACCCTGAGTATCCATAAAATTCTATGCTTCTTGCAATTAATTTTTATATTTATTAAAATCATCTTGGGATCTTGGGGTTAGAAAGAATATGAGAACTCATTTAACCCACGTTCCCATTTAATGCTGGATGCCTTGAACATCGCTACCCCAAGGTTTTGGTAAGTTACTTTCTGAACACTCCCAAGGACAGGGAGCCGTCTCTTCAGAAAGCCTCCTGCGGCTCTGGACACCTTTGCGCGTTTAGGTAAAGCTAAAACTGGCGCCTGGGCTCACCCCATTTGGCTTCAGCCTGGGGATCCGCAGAGGGAGTCCTTCTTCCCCAACACCCTCCCTTGGACTTGGATGAAAAGCCACCATCCATAACACCCTCTTCTCTTCTCCAAACTAATCAATGCTCCTTCAATCCATCACCCCAGGGACTTCAAGTCACCTTCCTGCTCCGTGGACTGCTCTTTGGACATGCTCCAGTTTGTTTGTGTGCCTCTCAAACTGCAATCGCAGATCTGAACACCATCCTCTTAGAGGATCAGAGTCACCATTAGAACTATACACACAGTCACCAGAATAAAACAGGATTATCACCTCCCTTTTTCTAGGTGGCATGCCTCTATTAATGCACCCTATAATTTCTTTAGTTTGTTGTTACCGCATGGCTTTGTTTATTAACCTGCATGGAACTTCCTTGCTTTAAACTTTAAGACATTTTCACAGGTGTTGCTTCTTTTACAGCTTCTTCATCCTCTTTTCAGAGTAGTATTTGGTCCCAGGTTCAATGCTTCTTTAATTCTACCAAACTTAATTTTAATCACATTGTCCCTATTGTTCCGGTATTGATGTGACTCTGTAGTTCACTTACTGTCTTTCCCTTCCTTATAAATAAGTGATCTCACTGGATTCACAGTTATTATATTTGGATGCTTATTCCTTTGGAACAACTGGGGTCCACATTTATGGGGAACAGCAAGGCACGGCCCCTTGTGTAACAATGTCTTGCTGACACTGGGCAATAGACAGCCCAGGCAAGGGGGAAGCTAACCATATATACACGAAGGCTCTCCTGCTACGTTTTTCCGCAGAGAATACGGACACCTGACTGATCATAATTACAGGCTCGGTTCCTTGGCAGGTTGCTAACCCAGACTGTTTATTCCAAACACAACCCTAAAATTGCCCCCAGCATGACAAATATATGAATACCTAGGTGATTTGCTGAGCAGCCCAACAGTTAAATTGCTTTACCGCTTCCTATAATCATGGTTCCCCGAACGGACAGATGAATGCCTTATTCCTGCACACTGAACCAGGCAAGCCTCTCCGAACGATCTTCTAAAGCCACAGGATTGCGACACCCCTGTCTGAAAAGCCAGTGTGGAGCCTGGCACTGGTGCGGCATTTTCCTCTAGCCCCAGCTTGCGTGTCCCTGTGTGCCCGCCGTCGGGATGTCTGCAAACTCAGCTCTCCTCGCGGGATGGATGCGGGCCCGGAAAGCCCACCTCGAGGGGGTGAGACGCAGCAGGGGCGCCCCAGGGCTCAGCTGCACAGGTTCGCCCTGAAAAATGGCCCACTCGAGCTTGGGCCTGGCCAGGCCTGCCCCGGCTCGCTGCATGGGGGCCCCTCAGGATCCTGAAGGTGGGTGCGGGGCGGGTGGCAGAGAGCGAGGCGCACACTCACCGGGGACTGGCCTGTCACCGGCGTGTTGTTGTTCAGCTGCAGCAGCCCGTTCAGCCCGTCTCTGTAGAGCGTCACCACGTGCCAGCCCCCCAGTTTGATTTTGCTCTCACTTTCGATGATGGCGACTCCAGTTCCACAATTAAATCTGTGTAGGAGGAAAAGGAAAGAAAGGTTCTTTGATTGACCAGCACCACAGGTTCTTCAGGGCCCCAGACGTCACTGTCAGGGTGACGGCTTCTTTCAGGGTCACACGTATCAAGGGCAGTTCACAGGAACACACGGAAGGACGGGAAGCCTGTTCTCTGGGACAGCGTCAGTCTAGTTGTCTTGAATCCACCCATAAAACCATTCCACGTGGGGCTTCTTTAACCGAATTTCCTCTGCCGCTCAGAAAACGATGGGCAGCTAAGCACCTCCTTGTCTTTTCCAGAGATTACCAGAGGCTTGAAGTAGATTCAAGGTGCAGCAAATCAGGACCTGAGTCATTCTGCTCCCAGGGATTTTCTGGGGACTTCCCCCAGCTTCCAAATAGCAGGCTCGGTGACATTAACAAAATGTAAACAAGCCAAGTGCTCACCCTCTGGCTGGCAAGCGGCCAGCACTGCCATCTGCCCAGCTGTGCCCAACGGTCCCCCGGAGGCTCCAGCCTAGGGGTGCAGCGTGGGTGAAGGGGGAGCATTTTGGTTGCATTCTTCTTTTTTTCCTCTCAACCTCTCTATGGCCCAAGGTGCCTACTGGCCACTATGCCTGACATCTAGGATTTCAATCCTGTCCGGTCAACTTCCAAACAGCCACCGTGTCACTTCCCTGAGGTTGCCGGTGGAAAAGGAAGCATGGCTGGCCTCGTCCTTACCGGGACTTGAACTGGCTCCAGCCCTCTCTCATGGCTCTCCCTGTCTCGCGATCTCAGCAGAACGGAAAGGCAGGGAGAGGCACTGCAGGGAGACACAGGCATCACTCATGGGGAGCTGCAGAGGCCGGGAGCCGCTCCCTACCAGCCTGGCAGCTGCCAGGGTCCCTCAGGCCCTCCAATGTCAGAACCCCTCCCGGTCAGAGCCACTGGCCCGATCCTGGTGGCCAGCGCCAAACTCCCATGAGCCTGGGAAGAGGGGGCCATTTTCCACCCCAAGTGGGATGCTCGACAGTCTTCTCCAGCTTCACCAAATGTACTTTTTGTGCTGAAATAATCAAAAGAGAGTAATGGCTGATGCTGAGTGAGAGCTCGCTAGGGGTCAGGCGCTGCTGTAAGCACTGTGCGAGGGACCCCATTTATCCTTGCAACAGCCCACAAGGGGTCCTCTAGGAGGAAATGCAGTCTGGGAGAGGGCCAGGCAGGGGCGCCAGCGGGATCTTAACCTGCGGACTCTGAAGAAGGACGAGGCTGATCCTCACGAGTTGCTCTCAAACAGGTGCCCTGCACACCCACCTGAAGTGGGGTGAAGCACTCGTACCTCCACTGAACTCCGCCCACAGGAAGCTGCACCCAAACTCAAGGTGGCTTCCAGAGCATGTCGGGAGCGGAGGAGGGGAGGCAAAGAGCCCTCCACCGCCCTGGGGGAAGACAAGGGTGGCGTTTGAGTCCCTGGGAACCCTTGGAGGCTGTGGCTCTTCTCTGCTCCCCGTGGCTGTCCGTGGCGTTGACTGCAGGGGGCGAGGAGGCGATCCCGCCTTTGTCCCATTAGAGCCCGGGGAGAAGGGCTTTCCCCCCGGCTCCTGGCTGCGCACCCAGGGCCTGCAGCCATGCCCGTGCACTGTGGGTGCTCCAGAAACACGTGCTCGTGAAGAAAGGAATGGCCACAGGCTCCAAATGTGGCCAAGGTCCCTTAGGATTCTGACATGGCAGGATTTGGTGAACTGGTCCACGCTCACCTTGCACACACTGTGCTTTATCTACAAGGACCCGTCCTGCATTTATTTTAGTCCCACTATAAAAATGTGCCATATTTTGCCGTGTGTAATGCACAGGTTTTTGCCCAAATTTTTGATGGAAAAATAAGGATGCACATTATACATGTGGATAACGAATACATACCGTGGGTATAATAATGGTTACAATAAGCCCATGTATAACGCGCACCAAATGTGGGCGCGCATTATACACGGCAAAATACAGTAAACATACCACAAGGTAGTATTAAGACAGCCGGAGGCGTCTGTCGGGAGTCACCTGAACTGGAGGGAACGCTGGGTGAGGGCCAGGGACATGAAGTCGCCCCTCTCGTGCTCGTTCTCCCCGCAGTAGAGCAGTAAGCCGTCCTCCGCCTCTGCCTGTGGGACAAACAGAACCACGGGGACAATGAGTGCCTCCTGCTCCAGGGAGCCACACCGAGTGCAAAACATGGGCGTTCTCCTCTGTGGTCCTGCTTGCAGAGGGACAAGCACGTGGGCTTCCAACTCTGACACACCCCTGGCCGTGGCACAGGCTGTGTGAGCAGTGGCAGGGAGGGGAGGGAGGAAGGCAGCCTCGTGCTCGGCCTGCTCTTGCCTTGGCTCTGCGGCTCCACCAGCGGAGCCTGGGGAACACCGGGGCGCCGAGACCAGGGCGCAGGAGGCGGTTCTCACGCTCGTCCATTCTGTTCTCACCAGACAGCGTCCTGTAGTTTTCCTTTTTTTTTTTTTTTTTACCTTTCCTCCCTCTGAGAAGCATGCAAATTGCTTCCTTCCTTCTATCAGGAGAGCAGGGCAGTCAAAGCAGCCCACTGATAGCCTGATAGCCTGGCTTGGTTTTCACCCCTGGTGGCTATCCTAGGCTGCCACAGGTCATCTTATGGACCCTCAGCAATGTGACTGTGACCTCAAAGGGGACTTGCGTCCAGACCTCCGGACATTCTCATGTCGTCAAGGCGCCCAGAAGAATCACTGTGAGCAAGCCGAAGCTGTGACTGAGCTCTGACCTGCAGTGGGGTCGGGTCAGAGAGTCCTGGTGGGACCTCGCTCAGCACCAGGGTCTGCATTTCAGTTTTATTTGCTTGGCTACAGCTGGAGCAATGAAGGCAGGCATTTGGGCTCCCTTTAAAAGGGGTTTGGGAATGAGGATGCGTTGTGCCTTCTGACATCCTGGCCAGGACAGAGTCACTTTTATGAGCAACGTGCATCCTTTCTGGGAAGCTTCAGGCCAGCCACTGCCACAGGTCAATAACATGCAGGACCCACCCGCCCCTCATTGGCACCCTTGAATGTGTGAATGGGCCATTGTCCTTGCTACCTGTGAACGGTTTCAGGCAGGCTCTGTGTCATATTTACCCTCGCTGTGCACCTCCCTGCCTCCTCTCCCCGCTCCCTTTTGTCATATACAGTGGACACTCATCAGACAACTAACCCTCCTTACCCGAAATTCAAGAGTGATGTGAAATGCCCGATGGGAATTCTTCAAAGGTTCAAAGGTTACGTAAGAGTAGCCGAAGAACTGAGGATACTGTATAGCGATGTCTGGAAAGACAAAAAGACAACACAAAAACAGGCTGTTTCCTCTCTTCTTCAAATACAAACATGAACACACGTTGCCCGGGGGTGAGTGAGTGAAAACCTCCGATCTGTTAAACCTAGTTCACTCTCTTCTTTCCTTTATTTTTCACACCTGTGAATTCTCGTTCTGGGGACGTTGAGCTCCTGCCATTCTTAGGGAGAACATGGACGTGTGGAGACTGTCACCTGCTACCCGACAAAGGAGCCGACGGCACAGGCTCAGCGACCCCTGCTTCCCAGCTGTGCCCCCATGCGATCTCAGTGGGCTCCGCTATGGCCTTTCTCAGCTTTCGTGCACCTGTCTCAGCTGCATTTTTTGTTTTTTCAGTAGAGAGGTGATTACAGTCAAGTCCACCCCTGGGTGCCATTAGGATGATTTCTTAGGTGCACACGCTTGGCACACGGAGAGACCGGGCTTCTCCCCGATGAGAAGCGAGGGGAGCGGCCTCGGAGGTGCCCTGCGCAGCTCATTTAATGACTTACACTGGGAAGAAGGGCTCAAGAGAACCATAGGCGGGCAGCAGAAGTGCCCTTCTGGCTTCCGGGGCGCCCACCCAGCACCATGGCCTGCCCCCCCAGGACCCACCTTCTGAGCAGCTCTCGCCGCCTTTGCCCAGGTTGCAGTGGCACCGTGAGCGCCCCCAGCTGTAGTCATTGGCACAGAAGCTGTCAATGGGGCAGAGGGTTTCATCGCAAGACTTGTCGAAGAGTCGGGGCATCATGGGCGCGCCTCTCAGGTCTTCCCTCTTCCCTGGAGTGGGCTGGGGGGCCTCCGTCGTCGTGGGGAGAGACGCCGGGGTAGGGGGCGCGGGCTTGGAAATGGCCTTTGGGGTTGCTCTTGGCGCGATCTTGGATTCCACCAATAATTTCTCATTCCCCCCTTTGATAGCAGGAAGTGGTTTAACCTAAAGCCAGAAAAAGATCAACACAGAGCGCCAGGAATTAAGCTGCCATGTTATGGTGGATACCTGATATGTGAACATATGGTTGCTTTTGGCGAGTCCCACAGCCCTGGGGTGTGGGTGGGGGAGCTAGTGCTGACCCTTGTTTATGGATAAAGGACTTGGGGCTCAAGGATTTTAGCACCTTGCTTTGTGTTACTCAGAAGATCAGTAGTAAAGCTGATAGTATACGATTATTACAATATCATGAAGATAAAATTGTCAAAAAATTGTTCATTTCCTTATAATACCTGACTTTGTAAAATTGTACTTGGTGGGAAATCTCAACTTGTTTTCCCAAACTGCAAGGTCAGCACGCAGGGCTGACCACAGGACACCAGCGTGGTTGGTACTTAGTTACCACTAATGTATGATCACCCAGAGCCCAATAGTCAGAGGGAATACGTGCGTTAAAAGCAAATGAGCCAATTTAAGTCAGTGTTAAGTAAAATGCTCACAGTCCATTGGCAAAATTGTCTTGTTCAGCAAGAAAACAAAAACACCCTGGGTTTTAAGAGCAGAGATTTCTGTTACCTCTTCAAAGAAAATATCCAAATCTAAGTCGTCTTCAAATCCATCGTCATCCTCACTGATGCCTGAGCTGGTTATGTAATGGGGTCCATAGCGGCCGCTTCCCGCCTCCTCAGGGCCTTTGTAGGGAAGAGAGGCAAACGGATGTGAAGACACACTCTAGCCCCTCGTCACTCCTGACTCAGCCACAGACGCTGCGCCCAGTGGACCAGGGTGGACTGGGCACACGAAGACTTCAACACAGAAGAGGAAGCATCGATGACCGCAAAACATGAAGAATGGTTCCTCTCATATGTAATCAAGAAAATGCCAGTTAAACCCAGAAAGAGCTGCCCTTTTATACTGACAAGACCAGCAAAAAAGTCAGCAACAAAAAATATCACCACGGATGGGACTGATGGACACTCGTGTATACTGCTGTTAGCTGTGTGCAACTACTGCAAGACGCTTGGAAATGTTTAATAAAGTAGAAAATGTTCATACCTTCGGGTCCAGCCATCTTACTCTAAATTACAAAATCTAGAAAAACATGTGCCAAATGTGCAAAACATGTTCATAGCATCAGAAACTGTTACATTAAAAAAGATCTCAAGTCTGCTTTTTAGAATAGTAAATAACACCCCAAATATCTATCAGCAGAGAATGGACAAATGAACTAGAGTGTATCTGTGGCATGGAGTGCTATGTACCAGGGGAACGAATGAATGAGCATTTATTTAGTAATGTATCAGCAGGCCCTTAACCTCACATCATTTCGTGCCCAAATTCAAGTTGTTAATAAACACACCCAGTTTGATGCCATTTATAAAAAAGTCAACAGCAAGCAAAACTTGATATATTATTATTATTATTTAAAAGATTTTATTTATTTATTTTCAGAGAAAGGGAGGGAGAAGGAGAGGCAGAAAAACATCAATGTGTGGTTTCCTCTCGTGGGCCCCCTACTGGGCACCTGGCCTGTAACCCAGGCACGTGCCCCGACTGGGAATAGAACTGGCGACCCTCTGGTTCCCAGGCCGGTGCTCAATCCACTGAGCCCCACCAGCCAGAGCTAATATTTTATTTAAAGATACATATGTATGTAGTTTAAATGATTAAGAAAAGTCAGGTAGTTACACAAATACCTGTGGGAGGTTAGAAGGATACGCATGAGGTACCACAGGGGACTTCAAGAGGCTCTGTAATATTCTACTTCTTAAGTAGGTGACAGGCACTTGTGAGGGATCATATTATCAGGTTGGCCCGAAAGCCCACCACGTTTTTGCCATACGATGCCTCTAGTAGCACTCAGTGGTCTTTAACTGCGTTCAAAACAATTGTGTTAGATTGTACGGTGACAGCCGTCATATCAGCGTGCATTTAAAAAACTTACCAAAACGAGTGAATTTTTATGTAGCCATTTTAAAATTGAAGATGGATGAAAATAAACATTTTATGTTTATTGTGCTTTATTATTTCAAGAAAGGTAAACATGCAACTGAAATGAAAAAAAAAAGAGATTTGTGCAGTGTATGGAGAAGGTGCTGTGACTGATTGAACATGTAAAAGTGGTTTGTTAAGTGTCTTGGTACTATTGACATTTTGACTAAACAGTTCTTTGCTGTGAGGCTGTCTTCTGCATTGGAAGGTGTTCAGCAGCACCCTGGGCCTCTACCCGCTAGAAGCCAATAGCAGGAGATACCCGACATACTCAAAATATCCAAATCAATTAAGTTATTGGTGAAAAAGAAAGATGTGTCTTTTATTTTACAGAAAAACACATAACAGACTTTTTGGCCAACCCAATATTTTGATATGTTATATATATTTTTTCTTTAAAATTCTTTAAAATAGAAAAGAGACATTGTATTAAAGCAGACACTCCACAGGAAAAAGGGTCCTATGTGGTATCTTGGGGGCCAACCATTTCCATCTATTTAGCAGGACAATGGGGTTTTTCAGCACTGGAAGATGGGCTGATAATCCGTAGGAGACAATATAGGGCATTGCCCTTTAGGGGATGGTCAGATTCACATTTTTATTCCGTTGTGAACCACCGAACCAACTGCTCTGCAGCAGCCCCGACTGGGCTAGACCCAGGAAGCCCTCCCTGGGGTGCGGGAGTCTTCCTGGTCCACAGCGCCCCGCCCCCTCCTGGCAGCCTTGAGCAGCACAGGCAGCAGCAGCCTGGTCTCAACAGGCACACACGGCACTGGCCTCGAGGGCAGTAACAACGGGCAGCAGAAAGGACTTTTATAGGTTCTTGATGCTCACTAGCATTTAGACATGCAGTGTTTTTATGATGGGGAGAGAGAGAGAAGGGAAGGAAAGAAGGGAGGAAAGGAGGGAGGGGGGAGGAAGGGGGGAGGAAGAGGGAAGGAAGGGAGGAAGGGAGGAAGGAAGGAAGGAAGGGGAAGGAAGGAGGGAAGGAAGGAAGGAAGGAAGGAAGGAAGGAAGGAAGGAAGGAAGGGAAAGAAAGGAAGAAAGAAAAAAAGATATTGAAAAAGCATAAACTGAACTTAAAGACATTCGGCTTTCAGAATAAGCTAAGACAAACACTTTTCTCACACAAAAATATCACCCTTTTCTAAGCAAAACAGCGAGCAACTTGCAAACAAAGCTGAAGGAGGAAAGGAGAGACAAGGACCGTGGGAAGTGCTCTCAGCAAACAGCTGCTGTGCAGAACTCGGCTCCGAACCAGGAAGAGAGAAACGCGGTGGGCAGATGATCCGGGACGGCGGGACGGAGCTGTTCTCAGGGGTTGGGCACATCTTGGTGGAGGTGGATTACACACCCCCTCCACACTAGCTCCCCACAGCTCTACTTGAAATAGCCCGCACGCCCGCTGAAATCCAAGCCTGCGGATGCCAGGTTTACACCTGGAGGCGAGTCCTCTTGAGCCGCCTGCACTCAGGCAGCCCCGCTGGGTGCCCGACGTCCTCACGCAGAGGGTCAGGAAGGCCTGGGTCCCTTTCCTGAAGTCAACTGAAGCTCCTCTTGTCTCGGTATCTGTGCATCTTTCTACCTCTGTGTCTTCCTCTGCGTCTCTTTCTCTTCTCTGTCCCTTTCTCACTATCCATGTCTCTATCTGTCTCTCTCCTATGTCAGGACTGTTGGATTTCAGAGGAAAGAATCCATTTGGTAATAAAAGAATTATACAGCACATACACAAAGAAAGCTGGGTTTCCTTTTCAGTAGGTTGGTCTCTCTCATTCCCCAGGGTGCCCTTTCTTGCCCTGTGCACATTTATGTCATTCTTGTTCTAGTCTCATCAATGTCGAGATTCATCTCATCTTATGATACCCTGTCTGACAAAAGCTCTCAAAGATCCAACACACCCCCACACCCTCTGCCTCCGCCATTGCCTACAGGACACATCCTGGGCTCCTTAGTTAAGAATTCAAGGATCTCAATGATATCAAGTCCTCTTTTCCTCTTTCCTTCTTCCACCACTGTTATTTATTAAAACCTACTGCCTCTCCCCTATGAACAGGTATGCTTGCATGCTTAACACAATACATTTGTAAACTTTAGTGACCCTGCAAGGGTAACTGTGGTTCATTTCACTTCGTAGGTAAGTCAACTGAAGCTCACAGAGGTGAAGCGACCTAAGATCAAAGACTCTGTCACTGGCTGAGCCTGACTCCAAGGCAGGTCTGTCTGGTTGCTGCTCTTCTCTGAAAGAAGAGGCCACTGTGCATGCCCAGGAGCCTGGGATTCAGAAAACTAACATTTATTGATCATTTTTACTGTGCCAGGAGCTTTTCAGACATTGTTCCTGCTAATCTGTACAAAATCCTGTGAAATTGGTATTATTACTTGCATTTTATCATGTGGAGATACAAAACTCAGAAAGATTAAAGAACTTGATCAAAGGCATGCCAAGAGCAGAAGGCAGAGCTAGAATTTGTCCTCGGACACTCTGATTACATGGTGCCATTTATAATCTGGCTCCAAATTGTGTCTTCAGCTTTTTCCCCCCTCTTCAAAGGTCTCAATAGAAAAACTGGTCTACCAGTTGACTCTGGACTACATCTTTTGTTTTCTTACCCCAAGACTTTGCTTAATGCCCTTCTCCACATTGCCATCCTGTTCCCTCTTCTATGTTCTTCTGCATAGCCTCCCCATCCCTCCAGCTACATGTGTCCTGTGGAGACAGAACACATCATTGAAAGGCCCAAATCAAGTCATGTTTTAGGAATAAAACTCTTTTGAAGAAAAAAAATGGAGGCTTCATGAAAGATGGGGAGGCCAAGACCTATCAGACACACGTACGTGTCCTCCTGCGTGGGGCTGTCCACACACAGGTATCTGCTCCATTGCAAACTTGGAATCAGCTCCCAGAGTTTGAAAGAATCAACAGATGTTTAAGACAGTATTCACACCTTCTGAACTTGGCCTTGGAATGATGCCATGTGTCCCAACTCAACTGCGAACCCCTTTGGGGCAGAAACCATGTTTTAGACTCCTGATATTCCTTCCCATCCTCCATTTCACTAACACGTCGCCTACTCACCAAGACACTCCTGCAATGCTACTACACTCCGGTGGCACTGGCTCTGTCCTGGCCTGGCCCGGTGGGCCGTGCCATGGCAAGGAATCCTTACAGGATCAGACTCGTCCCCAAGTCCAAAGACATTCCCTCAAAACTGCCCCGTTCCTGACCCTTTCCCCAACTCAAGACTAGAAGTTTAGAGTTGAAAGAGACCTTAGACACCAGCCAGTCCAAACTTCTCATCTCATGAATGTGTGAACTGAGACCACAGAAGAGAAACAACTTCCCGCCCCTTAAATGGCCCCGCACAGAAGGCTACCTTGAAGGAAATCCCTTCAAGAAAAGGACCATGACATGTTGCGTTGCTGCAGGTGCAAAGTGGTACCATGATAGGAATGGAAATGATTCCAGATTCTCTGCTCGTCTTGATAAGTAAAATAAGGTATAAGTTATTCAGGGGATAAAGTTCTTTGGTCTTTATATAAATTGCTCTGCTTTGACACTGTATATGACATATCTCCTTGAAGCCTGATGCCGCTTCTCAGTTTGGGAACAGAAAGGTATGAGATAAGAGTGGGCAGAGGAATATGAAATTACAAAGACTTAGTCAAAGAAATTTTGACATTTGTAGAAAGAAATTAGTGA